GGTTTGTCCTCATTTTTTTTTTTTTTTTTTTTTTTTTTACTCTTTTTAATATCAAAGAATTATTTTCATAAGAAAATCTAATTTCCAAAATGTATAGTAACCATCAGGACAAATGCAGTTACTTTAGGACTGGGATTATTATGTTGTGCTGCTAAGGTCCATGGATGATAGAAGATGTGGTTTCTAAATAGTCTGTGAATGAGTAATGGATAAGTATTTTGGTTACATAAAAATTTGCCTAAGTCAGATTTCACTTTCTGTATGCTTGTATAGTTCAAACCCAGCAAAGACTAGATGGGATTCTTCACTATAGCTAAACAGACAACTAAAAATACTATCAAGAATTATAAGTAAATTGATTTAGAGAAATTTAGCAAACATTTTACTTGAAATAAAGGAGACATGTCTTCTAAATATCCTTTGGTACACTAGTTCAAAACTGTGCTACAAAGAAGTTAATACTGCTAACTACTTAATCTCATTTATATACAGGTATGAAAAGTAGGTCAGTTTTCAGTTTCTTTTAGATATATATTTACACTCCTACTTACTCATCTTCAAAGGTAAGCATATGTTAAACTTCGATAAATATTATTAAAGTTGTTGCAAAAGTTAAATATATGAAGATATCACAAAGAAGATCTTGACAAATGTAGTGCTATGAAATAAATGTCATTTAAGACTTGTTTGTTCTAAATTCCTCACTGGAAGTCTATAATCTCAAAACTTTACTTTTTACACTTAAACAAAACTTTGAACAAAACCAAAGGAGAATCTTATTTCACTAATACTACCTGAAAAATGGGATTTTAAGCTTTATTGACTTGAGGAAATCAAATAATTATGAAAGTCAGTTCACCAGTTCACAGTGCACTGCAAAAGAGGCTGTAATTCAACTGACTGAGAAGCTGATTAGAAGAATTATTTTCTGTTTTTAAACATTACTGTCTACTTTTAATGCAAATTAAACCTAAAAGGAACAACATACATACCACCTTATGCTTACACTTAGGACTAATTTTTTATTTAAAGCTGGTTTTAAACAAAAGAAAAGTGCAGAACTTCACAGCTATGGAGGTCCTTCCAGACAGCCTCTGGCAAGGAAACCAAGGTGTGATGGTGTACACCTCCCACCCCCAAGGACCAGATCTCAGATCCAAAGGCCATGGATGTTGCCATGCTACCTGGGGCATAAAGCAGCAGCTCAGAGCTCACCTGCCCCCTCCTCATTCTGCTGCTGCTGCTTTGTACTGAGCACAGACTAGCCTTGAGTTTGAGAGCCCAAGAACTTTCCACACTTAAACCTGTCTCAGGTATTTGTGATGATCACCCAGTGCTTATGATGCACTGAAATTATGGTATTCAAATGTCAAAGGTCTTAATCACAAGTTATTTCAATTATTGCAACATTATATTTTACTTAAACTGACACACTGCATTCATTATTCTTTAATATAGAAAAATGTTAATTCAGCTGTTGTATAAACACACCTAACCCACAACAGGATGTTTTCAAATGCGTATGCAAACCACTCTGTGCAAGTGACAACAAGAAAACTGTGCTCCCACCAAACACTACATACGACCTATCTCCCTTTTTCCACTTCATTCTCATAGCCTAGAACATGACAACTTCCTGCCCCCTTCCCCTCCAAATAAACACTTAGCCTTGTCTAGGCATTTAAACACAACATTAATGAATGCATATAAAACCCGTCAATTCAATGCCCCAACTGAGTTTTTTAAATCTCCCATAAAACAGAAATATCTCATATTCTGAGCTGAAATACTTCTAAACTAATCTACACAGATCTCCTCTGAAATCCCTTCTTCATGAAATCATAATGGACAAACATACTTCACATTCTCATAACAAACTTAATACTTCCACAGTATCCTTAGTATTCTTACTGGATAGGTAATTGATTAAAAATAGTATTTTTCACTTCTCTATAGCTTATTTGAAAATATGGGATCTGGGTTAATTTCCCTTTTTTTCTAAACATACATGGAGTATGAAAAAAACCACACTACTTTTGGAAGTTTAATCTTCTCTTGGCAAGTGACTCAAGAGAATAATTCTTATTCTCTCCTAACTTTCCAGACAATCCAGTCTGTCACAGTGATTAGGCAGAATATTGCAACTATGCATAGACCCACTTGTTCACTAATCTGATTTATTTCACTTACAAAAGTTAAGAAAATGCAACACAGCTTTCTTTACAAAGTACACCAATCAAGCATCAAGAAAGGGATTTTTTTCCAGTAAAGAAAGTGAGGAGAAATCAGTTTGAATGAGACTAACACAACTTGTAAAGATTATCCTTTAGCAGGGTAAGGAGATATTATTATTTTTAGAAAGTCAATAAATATTATGCTTAAAGTTAATGAAATGAGATTATACATTATGTTCCTCAGGTAGTTCAACTCCCCAGTCACAGGGAATATCTGATAACATTTATGAAAGATATAACACACATTCATTTCAATAAATAAATAAAAAATAACAAGAAAAGCAATGGTAGAGGGAAGAAAGGGGGACCCAAAAGGGAGCATAGTAGCTAACAACCCTTACACCTGCCTTGTATCTGTGCTCTCCTCACCCCATGGGATTTTCTTCTTTTAATACATACATGAATATACATATATACATACACAGACATATATACACATACACACACACACCTTTGCACACTGATATGGAAATTTATATTTTTCCCTCAGTACCCAGCTTTTCTAACAGTATAGGGTTTATCATTTCAATCAGTAACATTAGAAAAATATCAGATTGATAGGAAAATGCATACCCTTCTATCATCATGTACTGCTAAACACCCAAAAAAAAAATCAGTAATGGCTTCTCCAAAACACAGTAAGAAATTTGATAGATAAGGATCTGATATTTTCTTTTACCAGGTCTTAAATGCATTTTGGAATTGGATATATCATCTGTTTTCCCCTGTTTATTTTTACAGAAAAAAATATGGCTAACAACTGGTTTGGTGAACACCAAGCCAAGAAACAAACAGGTGTTATTTTTAATTGAATTGTGCTGCAATGTTGCATAATGATTCTGCAGTGGAAATTTATCTTTTGTTTGTAGAAGTTGCCTTACTAATGAAGCACATTGATATATGACCAATATAGATAATGAGTCTTCCTGGGTATTTCTGCAAGATGTTAAATATATAATGGGATTTCTTGGAGCATGTCTTAAGTTTGCTTAACAATATAAATAATTTTCAGCAGCAATATTTCCTACCTCCTTTAGCTCCTTCACCACCTCCAACTCCTTTGAAGTTATTCATGTCTGTACTTAAAACAATTTCTGATAAAGTAGTGCAAAACACAGATGTTCCATGCAGAACAGCCTAAAATTGGAACTACACAAAAGAAGAGAGCAATAGCCATTTACACAAACAAACTGTAATAAAGTTCAGTAGGCTAACAAACGTATCGTGAAGGTCGTAACCATCATCTATTCAATTCTGAACCCAACCATTGCAACTACCAGAGTTTTAATTTACTGGGAAATACTCGTGCTGTCAAGGCAAAGCCAAATATCTTGTTTGTTATCATGGAGCATCTGGCCCTACTCAGCTTTAAATCAAATGCTACTTATCTTACATTCAATTAGTAATCTGGGGGTTTGAAGACTTGTGAGGGGATTGTTTGGGGTTTTTATAGCCCTCCCAAAACATAGTTTTAGCAGCTGTTGAGAGAGGGATTTTGCTGTGAACAAGTCAACACAGTTAAGGACAAATATGCAAGCAGGCTAACTTGCATGAGTATATATGCTTACTACTATACCTCCACCATAGGTTCTTCATCAACAAGAATCAAAGGGCTTCAGAATCAAAGCCCTAATTCCATATTTATACATCTAAAGTGACCAAAAGATTAAACATTTTTCTGGAATCCATGAAAGAATGTAGAAGCAGCAATCACTTGGAATCTTGAGTGTTATATTCAGTCTCTCCTGATGAAATCTGGCTGAGCCGTTTGCTTGATCCCCACAGCTTTCGGGAAAGCTGACCTGAGCGCATCTGTTTAAAAGTAATTCAGAGAAACAAAAGGAGGGGGAAGGGATAAGGTGGATAAATTAAAAAAGAATTCAGACACTGAATCTGGTGAAATGCAGACACTACAATGTACTGCATAAACAAAATATACCAACAAAAATGATTTAAAAATAAACTAAAAGTCACACTTAGGGATTATTCTTGAGAGTGACAAAAAAACAAGACACAAAACACTAACCACAGTCTTCTCTGAATTTGAGCAGCTAAAGGGATATTACCCACTAATGTGTTCCCATATGCTTAACCAAATGGCCTAGAAAGAGTGTTTAGATTGCTATTTTGATAGGAAGAGAAAAGAAGAGGTGAATGCCAAGCAAAAATGAACTAAATGAGAAGAAAGGACATTTTATTTTAGAGATTTCAAACAGAAACTGCTAGAAGTGGGGGAAAAAATAGACAAGATGCAGGACAGTGACAGCAGAATAAAGGAAACAGAGAAAGGTTATCTCTTGGTGTCAAATTTATACAGTCTTCCAAAGATCCTGGGTGAAGTGCTCAGAGGAATGTTTAAAGCAGAAGTAATTCATAGTGAGTATTCCACAGAATAAGATGGATAACAAGCAACCAGAGGCCATATTAAATCCAGCACCTGGTAGGTCTACAATCCTACAATCTGACAACAGTTTGTAAGAAACTCTTCATTACCTAAGCACAAGGTTGATGATTGGCCAGTAGTGATCAGCCTGGCAGCTGATTAGATTCTGAACTTCCTTGCAGTTCAATAAATAAGATTCATGCCTTTACAAGTCTGAGAACAGCTCTTTGCAGTTACTACTACAAATGTTACCCGCTTCAGAGCTGTATCAGCACAGCAGCAGTGTTCTAGAAAAGACACAGCACTGACCAGGATTAACACTAACAAGTGGTAATTGCCAAGACTTCTGCAACACCCAAAACAGCTAAGTAAATGTTAAAAATACAACAGTGTTTATTATACTCCGTATTAGAAACTGTCAGTGCAGAAACACTAAAGGCCAATCCTAATAGCAAGCAGCATTTCACTTTCTGCACATTAAAGCAAGTCTGTGCTAAAGATCCAGTCCTTTGTCCTAAGGATCAATATCACCACTGAAAGCTGGAGCTGCAACACTGTCTTCTGTATACAGATAAAGTTCCAGGAATTAACACATTCCTTCCAAACTAAGTCATTCAACAAATGAACACCACACATACACACACTTTTCAAATATATTGATTGATGCCATTATAGAAAACTAGAAAATCTGTGACATAACGTTGTTCCTTATATGTTTGTGTTTAAAAAAAAAATCTATTTACACAGATATTAAGCTTGCATATCATCTGAACTGTAAACAGAAAGTTCTGGGAAAAAAGTCATTGGAAAGCCTCTGTAACCATAAAAGGAATCCAGTCTTTGAAACAACACTTTCTGCATAGTTAGAAAAATAGATGTGATTAAAAAATTAAAATAAGAAAACAAATGTCTTCAGTCTAATGATACACACAAATTTCAGCCAATAAAAGATCTTTTCTATGGAATAGGAAGCTTAGAAATGACAGTGGCTTTAAAACTGCTGTTACAACCATATGTTTAACCACATAATAATCAGCTCTTTTTCAATTCTACAATAGAAAAATCTCCCCTCTACATCCAGTGCAAGCAAAATCAGACTACCATGGTGTGAATGTTTTTTCAATATTAAACTATGTATCTCCTAGCAAGAACATTTAAAAATACTGACAAATAAAGTTGCTCTGTTTTCACATTTAAAATATAAAATTGAATTAATATACACTTTTCTGGCATGTACTAAAGATCATGCAAAAGTGATAATCACATTTTTGAATAAATACATAGCAGTACAATAGACATTGAGTTATAAAGATAATAAACAGTTTTAAATAACTCAAGTACTTTGAAAGTCATGACAAGAAGTAATGAAAGCAAAAACTATGGTTTTGCACAAGAAAAATTTGGCATATCTATTTGAGAGATGGATGCGCTGTAACTGATATTGCATATGCAGGACCAACAAGTTTATATTCACGATATGGAGCACAAGCATATTGGGAACCTACAGAAGTGATTCCCTATGCACTGCCATTAGAGACTCTCAACAGAAAGAAGTAATACCTTCTTCCCCAATGTCAGTCAATGCATATTAAAATATATCTGATAGAAACCATAAAAAAAATAAATAAAGTAGCTTGCTCTCTTTCATTTTCAATTTTCTTCTGGAAAATTTTTTCATCAAGAAGAGGCTGACAACACTATCCCATTCAGAAAAGGTTAGCTATTATGACTTTGCTTATTCAGATGTGAGTGATAAAGTCTGGAAGTTAGTCCAGCTGAGCTTCCCATCTGCAATCCCTATACACCTCTGATTCTTAATCAGAACTTTCAGTAGAGCAGTTTCAAAAGTTATTTGTTTCCCACTGAAAACTGAAACTTGCTCTTAAATTTACCCTGCCATAGAGGAGACCTCTTGCTCAACTGGAAAGCAGAAATAAGTGAACTTCCCACTGTTCGGTAGAAAAAGTTCTTGATGGTGGGTTTTACCTCTGCCGGCTTGCCAACACCAACGATAATCAACTTGCCATCCTCCAAGCCAACAAGGATGTGGCTGTACTCTTTGGTGACAGAAATGCAATGGATTGGCAGTCTCATGGCTAATGGAGAGATGCTCAGACTCAGGCTGAAAAGAACAAAAAACACAGAGGAAAAGTACATCATGTATTTGCTTGCAATTTCTCAAGGATAAAACTGGCAGTTTCAATTATCTAATTGTATCCTAAAAATCTAACTGCATCCCAAAACAGAGCTTCAATAACAAGAACAGATGTGGATAGGTTAAGTCAGTAAGCTAAGACATTTTCACTGAAGAACAGTGACATTAGTCACACAGCTGCCTGAGTCACAAACATCCCTCCCATTCTGAGGAGCAATGGAGCTCTATAGAGCTAAGCAGTAAGTGAAGCTGAAAACCTGATGCAGAACTACATGAGGCTTTATCCTGCAGTTGCTGACGTCCCTGTGATTAATCACAGCAGTCTGCACACTGAGAGCTCCTCCTGTCAGTTCTAGGTGTTTAATTGGCATAAATGTCTGGCAAGAACGAGATCTGTTACAACCTCTCATTTTATCTTTCTCCACATCTTAGTTCTGCCAAAACCATTTTTTTGGGTGGAACACAGAAAAAGCAACAGCTATCACCTATAGCACCAAGTAAAGTTTATTATACAGCCATTTCTCTATGAGCCTCCATATTTGTATCTCAGTAAAAATGGTGGTACGTTACCTGTAGAGATCCCGTATGGAAAGAAACCCCTGCAAGCTGCCCATGACAATGTATTCGCCAGTTACACACAGATCAGACACTTCCTCCTTCAGAGTCTCAGAACCCAGATATTTCCCATTGACAGAATAGAGATGTAATGCATTCTTATCCTGAAGAGATCAAAAATAAATGTGTCACAGAGGACTGACAGGATGAAGAGTGTTGTACTTCTATCTTTTGCTCATTAAAAGGCACTAAGCTGGCAACAACCCACAGACAATAACGCTAACAATAGTCTCCCTGTTGAATGACACAAGAGTAGTGAGCCTGTACTCAATGTGTGTGGAGGTAAGGTCCTGAATGGAAGTTTTTGAAGCTACCCCTTGATGCAACATTGTAGTCCATTTAATAAATTCTAAATTCCCTGGAAACATTCATGGATTTAATAGACAGGTCCCAATTTTATAACTCTTGTTAAGAAAGAAGAAAGCAAGATTGCACTCATCTTCAGCTTTGCTACCACCCTCCTTCCCTCTCTTGCCCTCCTAAATCCAAAAGCAGAAGGAAACGAGCATATTTCCACAGAGCTAGATCCAGAAGCATTTTCTAGACAAGCCAATGACTTCTTGCTGGATGATAGATACAACAAAACCATCTTAAGTTCCTCCAGCCTGGCATAACCTTGAATCTCTTTCCTCCCCATCTAACGTAGTTAGTATGCCTACATCATAGGTTTATTTTCCAAGAAATCACAACAGCTCTACCATTATTAAAGCAACTACACAGATCAACAGACACAACCTTATAGCTGTATCTCTAATCCCAAACTAAGAAACTCTGTGGACACCAAGCATCTTGCACCCAGAACATGCTGCTCTCCTTATAAGCCTCTGTTCCTGTGCACAGTGGAACTTGCTTCCCCCCCCTAGTTTTCCAGTCCAAAGTGGCTCTCCCAGGAGATTCATTAGTGTATGCTTGAGCATCTTCCTTGCAGGTGTTTGGAGATTTTAATGAAACTCACAGGAGCACAATATGCCTGTCACTTACCTTTAACCAAATTTCACTTGAATTGGCCAGCAAAATTAAAAAAAATATGGAAACTGACACTGCACGCTTAGAAAGCCTTCTTACTACAGGAAATGAGATAAAGTTAGATACACTTATGATTAAAATCTTCAGAGACAAAACAGAGGTTTTCCACAAACTTAAGTACCTTGAGAGTGGTCTTTCCTTCCACACTGGTGTGGACAACTATATGGCCTTCCAAGGAGACAGCCAGATTGGGAACAGTCAGCAGGAGAGAACTCTCACAAGGTGGTCGCAGAGTCCTCACGTACTGACCTTTCCGAATAGTGCGGACAATGACAGTGCCGTCCTGCAGCAACCACACGTAGGGGAGTTGATATACAGCAGGAGAATTATCACGACACTCAGCATTTACATACACAGGATGCAAGGAATACTTTGAATGCATTTCAATCCTTAATGGGAGATAAGGACTCCTGAGCATTAGGAACTCTGCACAGAGAAGCCTTCCCCTCAAGACCATGTACTATAGGCATACAAAAAAAACACCAAACAAGTAGGGCAGGAGGGAGGACAGGCAGCAAATCAGCCACTTCACAGGTCACATTTATGAACAGGCATTACATGGAGTACAAAGCCAGAATCCAATAGCCTGCCTGTGCAGTACAGTAAAACAGACCATGAACAAGTGGCACAGAACCTTCAGGGTTAACACAGCAGGGAAGAAACAATCAGAACACTGCTGCTATGTGAAGCTTAAAATCTCCAAGAAAGTCCACACACATGTGCAGAGTAACACCACATAGAAGGTGAGGCCGATGCTCTGCACAGTGGTTTGAGACAGTCTGATTTAAGCCTACAGCAAAGGGGATGGCACATATCTTCTTGATAAACAAGGCTTAAGAGATAGATCGTGAAATAGTGACTTTTTTCTATTAGTCTTAATCAACTTCAAACACCTTGTATGGTTTGAGTTCAGTTGAGAAAAGGCAAAAAAAGGACAAGTAGGAAGGTGCTTACCCTGGATCCTGACACTGCCATATCCAGTTCAGTGCTGATGCCAACACTCGAAACTTCATCAGTGTGGCCATAAAGGATCTGTAATGGCTTAGGTGCCAGGCCTACAGGCACTCCTCCCTGAGAGTAATAAAAAGTGCAATAATACATTCTCTTGCAGCTGAAGGACAAGCAAAAAATGAACTTCTGGTATCTTCAGTACCAGTTGTGTAAGGTGTATATCTGACAGAGGTCAAAGCCAAAGGCAAGCTACACCACTCCAATATCAGTGTATTACCCTCTGTGTCAGCTCCTCACTTACTGCAATCCCACGAATGAATGAACATGTAGTTACTGCGTGAGTGTGAAAGACAACGGTACTTTGCTGACTCCTTCCTATCCCTGCAGGTGTCCAGGAGTGCAAGGACAACAGTGAGCAGGCCTAACAGGAGCTGTTCACCTACCCCATCAACACACTTGTTCTTCACCTGTGCATCTGGGCTTGTCCAGTTCTTAGAGTTTACCCTGGAATCAAGCACTATCTTCACAATCAAGATTAAAAAAAGTTAAAATTTACTTTTATTTTACTACAAATAACAAGAACTCTTTCCATTTTCCAAGGAAAAGGAAGCAAACAGTATTTCTCAGTGACTATCAGTTGTACAATATACAAAGGAAATATTGGAATAATGTTCATTAAAAATAGCAACGTTCCCACATAACAGCAGGGTATCACAGTTTTTGTCCCAGTGAGTGTACTGTCAGCATAAACAGACTTCTTCTCAAACCAGTTCTAAGGGAAGAACTGTCCTTAGAGAGAAGGTACTGTAAATAGTTCTACAGAGAACTATTTATTTTCATTTCTGTGATAAAGATTTGTTTGCAAATCAGGCCCTGAAAGCCTGAAGCATGCAGAAATACAGAACAAGTGTCAAAATACAGAAGGTGTCACTGAGAAGACAAGTAGAATGGAAATGCCAGTACACAGTCCATTTCTGCCACTTTGTAAAGACCAAGATAAAAGTCACACAAGAAACATTTACTATGCATAAAATAGCATTTCTATATCTATTAATAAAAAAATACATTTAAAATCTTAAGGAAAAGCACTTCTAAATAAAGACCATTTCCAGAGTGTGAGTTAACTTGCCATGAAAAGATAAACTAAAAAAAGGTCCAACATTCATCACCACTTGAGACAAAAAGCTACTTGTATGAGCCCTAAGGTCTTACTTTTTTTGACCATGCACTGTTACTACAAAGTACTTCTTTACAGAATTATAAATACTCCCACCAAAAGACAGCTTCCACAAAAGCACATGCAGTAATGCACCACTCTACTGCTTTAATGTGCTGACTTTAGTTCCACAATAAGCACAAGATGACTTGATGAAATCTACTGTCCAAAACATGACAGCTTTCCTCAGCAATTAATCCTACTTGCATATATTATATGCAGCAATCATAAATTAGCATTTAATTGCATAATGATGGAAACAGCTTCAGATTTTGAGTGTAAGTACACACGTGGATTACACAAGTACTTTCAGTGTGTGAAAGCATGAGACCAATATTAAAGAACTTTCAAATGCCAGTGCAAATGAAGATAATAGACAGTGCTGCCTTTGCTGTAGTCATCAATACCCACCACAGAGAAAAGGCAGTACTAAAATGCAGCTACTAGGAGTGAACAACGGCCCAGAAATGTAAAATTCTTATTTGCCTGCCCTGAAAATTACCTGTGAAATCTTTAAGAAAGCCTCTAAAATAATGTACTTCAGCTATATAGTAACTAATATGTATAGTACTACTGAGAAGACAATGAGAGTAAAATTACTAAGCAATCTTATGCACTATCTTCCCTACAAACCTGAAAATAAATCAATAGCAAAACAGAGGAAAAAAATACATCCAGAAACTGCTTCTGAGTATGCCTAAATAACCCACCTGCTGAACTATTTGCCATATCATGCAGGTAGTATCTCTGGAGCCTGAAATTAAATTAATTCCACAGTGGTCTATTGCCAAGCAGGTGACAATATCTAGACAAAGAAAAGAAGACAAAGTTGTCACATGGGCAATTAAGACTAATTTCCCACAGGCTGACAATGTGGATACAACTTGTCACAATGTATCCTGATTTGCAGTCAGCATGAAATACTCTACTGTGGTAAGGGCTGGTGATACTATTAAACAATTACATCATCATACAGCCAAATGTACCCACTTGACACATTCAGCGTTGCTACCTAAAAATAGCAGGCAAGCCTTATTTTGAAACTACATCAAAGCACCAGTCCAATGACTAAAACTGCTCAAGTATTTATGTACAATCACAATTCAAGCATTCTTCTGTTCTTACACTGCCATTCCTTTACAACTGCTACACTTGTGTGCCCAGGGGACGTGGCTCTATTCTGGGAACACCAAAAAACACACACAACCGTTTTCATTTCCCAACACAGAGTGACTGACCCATGTGCCTGATGTGCTGTCCCATCAGTTTGCCTTTCGTAAGGGATGTCACTCGGATGCTGTTGTCCCAGTGTCCGCCACTGAAGAGCAGCTTTGCGTCATGGGACACTGCAAACAGCTTGGAGGTGATCTCCAGCCCTGGGGCAAAAGGACCACTCATGCTGCGCTGTGTTCTGCAGGCAAACGAGCAGCAGTTAACAGTAATCTGGGATCACATCCACGTTTTTTGCACTTCCTCTGCCTTTAAACATCAGTAATTAAATCTATCTATAGAAGAGGCTACACCCATGGAAAAACTCTCACTGCCACCAGTGACTGGAAGCAAGATTTCATTTAAGATTTTTTCAGCCTTTTACACAATTGGATAACTCACGTCCCTACTAAGCACTGTAACATTAAAGACAAAAAGAAATATTCTAAAAACAAAAAACCCAAACTTGCCAGATATACCTATGTATTACTATAGCTTAAGAATGTCTGAAGACAATCACAGATTACACAATGAACTTTTATGATTGAAAATTAGAAGTAGCTCTAAGAATGAAGCCTGAAATGCCACTTACATAACTCTACTAGAAATGCTATTACAGATTAGAGGCAATGTTACTGAACATCAGAAGATGCATTCTTAGGTGAAAACTCAGACAGTGAAAACAGTATTTTCACTCACTTTCAACAACTACTGTATTTCATTATTTTAGATGCATTCATCTGTACCTGCCTCAAAATTTGCTTACTTGGGATTTGTCACTGTTGTATCTTTGATGAATGTGAAATAGTTGGAAATATTTTTGTCATAAGGCAGCCAACCATGAGTTCCAATAATGCAATTCAGACTTGCTGTTACCTAAAAAGTTTAATGAAAATGTTGATGAAACCCAGAGGTTTATTTTCTGTTTGCCTTGATGCTAATGGAGCTTGCATAAAGTCCAGCAGAGGCTTCTTGAAAACCTACCACATGGGAAAAAGGACATGCACCTCTCCCTGAACAAACAAGTCAATAAAAAATCCCACTCAGATGAGTTAATCCACACATGGTACATAGAACCACATTAGAATAGTCTATGTTCTACATAGGTTAGAGAAGTTGGGGTAGGAAGGATGGGAGGAGACAAACACTAAAAATCCCCGTCAACCAAACCCTCTCCAACATTTAATTACAAGTCAGTCATTTAGTTTAAGCTACTGCTTCTTTTCTTCTCTGAGTACTAACTGTTAATAGTAAACATATTAACATAGGAAGTTTCATTTCTGATGAAGTAACAAAGCAATCTAAATATTCAAGGTCACTTTCCTTAGATATTTATGAAAAACACAAGGAGAATTTTAGATGTGTTCAAATAACCTATGAAAGTACCACATGAAGCCAAGACAATTTTGATACACAAAATAGAAATATTGGAATATTCTTTCCTGCAAAACAGAGGTATTATTGCACTGGGGCCAGTGTCTAGGCCATATATACAGATACAAATACAAAACCACTGTTCTCCTTTCATTATTTGGTATCTGCCATAGTACAAGATCATGTGCTAGTGCAAGAGTTAGTTTTAGGAACAGTGCAGGCCTTTGCAATGTGCATGGTACTGTTTAATATACAGGTATGGTACAGTTTAATGTTGGAAAGCAATGACAATGACACCATTAATAACTCAATGCTGTAATTTTAAATCTGGGCTGCATTGCATTAGCAAATTGGTTGTTGCATGGAAGTTGATCAAGTGGCAACTTACAATATGCCTCACTATAATTTACAGTCATATCTCATCAGCTCTTAAATGCCATTCAACAAATCAGCCTGGCTTCTCCTTGGAAGATAAATATTTAACTTAACCGACATTTGCTATAGGTTAAAGGAACACATTTGAAGAGGAACAGTTAAATATTTCTCTACAAGCTGCATTAAAAAAATAAACTCACTTGACTATCTGCAGTTTAAGAACTGTATTGACACACGCAACTCACCAAGATCTCTGGGCTTCCCTGAGAAATAAAGGAACGTGACTGATTCCTGGGGACAACAGCTTTGACAATGGGCACACCATCACTAATTCCCTAGGAGAAAGGACATAGGTTTGATCTGATTATATCCAAAAGCTAAAGGTAAAACCTAGAACCTGTAAAGAGTAAGATGCAAAGCCTCTGGAATCAGTGTCAGACCTGTCGAGCACCCTAAAGCATTGGCACACACCCATTCAGTTTGTGCAGGTAAGCTTCATCACAAACACTGCAAATGAAACCCTGACCCCAATCGGAGTTTAACTACCAAGTTCAGTGAGTCCTCACACACCACCAGTGAGGTTTGCAGCTTTCTTGGTGTAGTGACTAATTTAATACTCAAACAACACCCACACAAGCAGCCAGCAGATTTATGGGATTCAACCTCTATGAAGCCAACTAAAAAGACAAAGCTCATTTAATACACATTGCATTGTAAAATATTCTCTCTAAATCGGAAGCAAGTTTATTTCCATCTAGGTTGTGACCTTTTGTTTCAAGTACATCAAATTTCAGATTAGACTTCAAACAATTTCAAGTAACACATCTACCTCTATGAAGAAAGACTTCAGCTCAGTGAGGTGTTGAAAGAGATTCAGAGTAGAGGTATCACTTTTAGTTAGTCTTTGTACTACCTCTTCTGCTGATAGCCTTTGTGGATGGGGCTCCTAGGAGGCAATATTTGGAGTGACAAATTAGACTAGTTTAACAATTTGTTCAATGCACATGAGATACTCAGAATCTTAATGGGAAAACAGTCTTAAATACCTAATATCTCTTCTCAGAGAAAATTAATTTATTTTGAAAATGGATTCTTTGGTAACGTGGCAAAGATTTAATGTTGCTAAAATTACAAACCATTACCTTAAAAATCATTGTTTTTTTCAGAAGTCCCTGTAACTCAGTTGCATTTAACTACAAAGGTCTGGGAGGGAGCAAAAAAGCAGTACCTTTAACAGCTGACAGGGAGTTTGCCCAAAATTGTTTATCATCCCTTCTAAAGCCTTCCTTTCTTTCTCATCTGTTAAAGCATCCAAATCCACAGCCCCTGGATCACAATCAGAACGATGAAGAGTAGGAAAAAAAAAAAAAAGACAATCCAAACAACTTATTAAGAAACAATATGGTCAACTTACTTTACCTGGAGCTTTACGATCCTTTACCCCTAGAAAAGCCCCAGACAATGCCTCCATTTAAACTACAATCTGAAAACTCCACTCTGCATGTGGAATTTTAACTGTATCTGTCAGGGCAAGAATTGCAGGCCTTTGCCTTATCAAATGAATTTAATTTACCTCATTGCAAGCAACAAGTAGCACACAAAAACCACCCAAAAGTTAGCTTTGAAATTAACAGCTTTAATTTTTCTCTAATATTAGTTGCTTTTAAGCAATGTGCCTGAACTCTAAACCACAAGAAACCTCTTCCTACAAATGCTTTTAAGTAAATAAGTGGCAAGAAAATCCAGTAATTTTTAGGAAAAAAAGACAAGAAACTGTAACAGCCCTCCTTTAAAAAAAACTCTCCTTTTTTTTGATGACACATTACAAGGTTTGCTGCCATATTTCATCGACAAATCTGCTGCCTTACCATATGCTGCTGAATGGTACACTCACAAATCAAGTGTCTACTGTCTAATAATGAAAACTCACAAGCCTGATGACAATGACAAGAGAACAAGCTGCTTTGTACCTTCATAAGTACAATAATAGAACACATTGAGCGCCTCCACTGCAGCTGGTCCCCTCTGCTTGTAGCCAAAAATCAAATCTATCCATTCATGAAGATGAGCAGAAACATACTCAGATTCCTAGAAAGAAAAATTGCTCTTGTAAGAATGAGAGAAACACTGCTCCCATCTTGAAGTTTTTACTATTCTGTGTGGAAAAGATTCAATTTCTAAATTAATAGCATCCATAAATTAGGTATTTAGCAATACATAGGGCAGAAGCATAAGAAACTTGTGGGTTATGGACTACTGGCAGGTAAGAGGGAAAATCAATACAGTGACACGAGATATGCACTATTGAAATGCACCTGTGCAAGGGAAGGTAATCTGCCAGCTCCCTAACACCAGACAGAGTCATCTTTAAATAGCAAAGGAACCCTACTCACCTACCTCTGCATTTTATCTCCTAGGACAGCAAATGCCCAAATCATTAGTGCCCAAAATGCCCAAGAGATTAAGTGCTCTTTTCAGCATTTTCTCAATATGCACAGGAAGTTCTAATGTCAAATGCAACCACAACTCTGGTTTGAATGCCATCCCACTTGTTTTACATTTAAGCCACAGTAGCAATGTGCAGGTGTACTTCTTTTACGTCACACATATAAACAACATCTTACCAGAGCCTTCCTGTGTTTATAAATAAAGTCTTCTGGGGAGTGGGCCCACTTAGGCAGAACAACATCATTTACCACCTCTTTGGACATTTGAAGCTGGCCTAAGTTAAAACCTGGTGAATAATTCAGAAAAGTTTTAGAGTTGCTACAAAATATTTCAAGTGCCTTGACTTCTCAATAAAGATTAAAAATCATTATTTTCTCAGTGCAAGAGAAGGATATTGAGAAGTTGTTAATATAAATCCCTAATAACTCTACCAGTGATGTAGGAGGCTAAGTTCAGTTCTGCATGTTTACAATTTTAAATGATAGTGGATAACAATGATCCAAAACATCAAAATTATTTTGAAGCTTTAGTCCTAACCATAGAAGTAGTATTAATCTTTTACACATCCATCTGTAAACATATCTGCATTTGCTCATTGTAAACATAATTGCATATTGCAATTTTCCAGGATTAAGAGTCCAAAACACTTCAATAAGGTTATTCATAAGAAGGGAGTTACTTAGAAGTTTAAATCGTTATAAAGTCAAGGTTTTTTAAAAGTCTGAAATCTCACCAGCTACCATTGAAACAACTCTAAATACTTAAATTACTTTAAAGTGGGACTTGGGAGTTCTCAATTTTTCTAATTTAGAGCTCTAGTAGATTGTAGCAGCACAAACATATAAAGCCATTTCCAAATTGTGCAAAGATAGAGAAACATATCACTAAACAATATATGTGAATTTAAAAAGGAGTCTCATCAGAATGCAGGATACTGTCTTTTCAATCAGCATTATAATAATTATAATTAATCTCTTAACTTTTGGTAAGTATTTAATCTGTATTAACTATTACTAACTTTTTCAAACATCCCAGTGAGCACCTCTGATCTCTCCACTGGGTAAACAACACTATTTTTAGCTATTCTTAAGCCCATAGCCTGAATTTTAAACTATGTTTAGGCTGCTGTTTAACACAGCCGGTATCTTCACTAAACAGTTTAAAGCCAGTATCACGATTAATGTCTACAGTCAATCACACCACAAAGTTTAAACAGTAAGTGTTCCTCAGCATTCACAAATGGTGGTAACAATTCTTTTCTGAAGAATACAGAAACAGTCTTCTGTGAGAATATTCCTAGGAGTCAGTTTACCATTTTGATTCTCCAGGAATTCTGGAAAGTAGAAGAACTCTGGGATAAGTTCCTTGACATCATTGGGGTTGTCCATGAGTGCCTGCCAGGTAGCAGGAATAGAGTGGAACTGTCTGTCAGCACAGTCAAATCTGAGGATCAGAAAACTCAGGTTAGACTTGGGTGATTCCCTTAGTAAAATGACATGTAAGAAGCAGGAAGGGGATGCTTATTTGCTCAGCATACCTGCCACTCTGCAGCTGGATGTGAAGTGTTGTGAAAGGCTCTACCCGAATGAGGTAATGCATGACCCCAGCAGCATTTGAGTAATGTGTCCCATAGTGAAATTTGTCAATCATTCCAAGAGGATCCTCAAAATTCTCGTATCTGAAAAAAGAAGTCTTTATAAATGCAACTGGGCATTATGGTTGATTTACATGTGGATTATGCTTATTCTAGGCAAAGATGCAAAAGAAATGACCACAACAATCTATGAGATAAAAATACACTGAGTTCCATCAAACACGAAGATTCCAAATCTTACTTAGAAAGTCCCTAAGAAAAAGACTGCTGAAAGATAAAAATGTACACCAGATGAAGCCTTTGCATGCCTGTTATACTCTTCCCTAGGCATTTGCTATCAGCTGTCAGAAACCTGACAAAGGGCAGACAGGACTGATGACTTTATACAACAAACCAATACACCCCATGCCACTAAAATGAATATTTATTAGTGAATAGACTTGTGATGGTTTCCTGCAGGATTCAGGAAACGTGTTTGACTGTGTAGAATGCAGAAGAGAGATTTTTTTACACTTGTGCCCATTTCCTTTTCTACTGGCAAACTCACTCTACCATGCCACCATCTGGCTGATACATTCCTCAGCCTCACAAGGCTGGTAAGAGAAATTTTAATTAAACATACTTCTACAGAACCCACTTCTTTACAGTCAGGATAGAGCCTAGTCATTCAAAGGAAATTCTCCCTGTTCCAAGTTTTCAGAAGATTTTGGAAGACACCGCTGCAGTCTGGTATGATAGCACACTCACTGCCCAGACTAGCAACATCACTACACTGCTGTGGGTTTAAGTGCCTGTCATTGGTACCTACAAAGGACTTGCTGAAAGTCACTTGAGACATATTTTATTTTGAAGATCATAATCTATGCTTGAAAAAAAGAGGAAGCACAGATTTAGGATCAATGCTACCTCTTAGCACAAGCAGCTCAATTCAGCAGTATGATTTCACATTCCTTATCTTGAAGCAGACATGGGACATGTTTTTTTCAGGCTGCTGAGCCATTAAATTGTTTTTGCAGTCTTTCAGTTTTTCATCTCCACAGCTGAGAAACAACTGAATATTTATAACAGTAAGTTTTGTCCTTTCACTGCCATATAACTGAGTGCTATATAATATAGTCTGAATGTAGCAGGAACAACAAACCAACCACATCTGCGAGTGCATCGGTTATGTCATAAAACCAGCTTCAAAAATGTCACTGCCACAACTTAATTTTTTAAATGTGTTATTAGCCGGAGGCTCAGAAAAGACAAAGAAATATAACCAAGTGTTCAAATACATACTTCTCTTTCACAGTCTTAGCATTCTTCTCATTTACCACACCTATAGGTTTGGACAGGTCCCTAAATACTGCAGGATTATTCAGGTCCAGTTCTTCTGAGGTGTAATCTCGTAAAATCCAGGGAAACTAAACCAAAAAAGTAAGCCAAACATCAGAGAGAGATTAAAGATACATACCTTTGGCAAAAATTTGAAAATTAACTTTTTAGTTACCACAGGATATTGAGCAAGGTCATTGTAAGTTCGTCCTGCCATAGTGTTCAGCTGAATAAGGTAGTCAAAGTTGGTTATTTCCCTATTCACCCATTTCTGAAAGACAAAGAAATATAAAATCTAATTCAATATATCAAAGATATAATTATTACAAGTTACACATTTTGTCAGTATCTATCTGCCAGAGGACAGCACTGGCAAGTGAAAAGCACAAGACCACAAAAATTGTAGTCAAGTCCAGATTCAATTTCTCATAATGAAGTTTATTATCCCTTTGATTCAGTGATTGTGCTATCCATATTTCACTGAATCAGGTCCTGTTTGGTGACAGTACTGTTTCAAATACAGGGTAAAAATAAAAACAGGAAATAAGAGAAACAGAAAGAAGGCAAGTATGCAGGTACTGATAAAAAGGAGAACAGAACTTTGAAATCTATTAGAGTGCTAAGATCAAGACTTATTTATAAATTATTCTCCCATTGGTTAACAGTACAGGTGAAGAATCTGTAAACCAAATAGACTGTGCACCTTTGTTTGCTCCATTATTATATTCTAAACCAAGGAACAGACACAGCTGTGTTCAGAAGGGCTCAATATTTGTCTGGAGAGTGATGGAGATGTGTCATGACAGATGGTATTTTCTCTGTGTAAATATACAACTCAATAGTTTTCATTGTCAGGAAAACAAAGAACAAAGTATTTCCAATATTTTAAACTTATTTGTAAAGCTTCCTCCCTCAGAGAAAACAATTTTGGCATAAGGAGATGGAAGACAAAGATACATTTACTATATTTAAAAATTTATATGTGTTTATGGTAATATGGACATTTTGACATTTTCCTTTTTTACCAATATTACTAATTCCCACTTAATATTCATGTGAGTTTTGTTGCAAGCTCCATCATGAAAAGATAGCAGGGAAAATTATTTGCAAATCCAGTAAAACAAGTTTAAGAGCAGCACTCAAGATCATAGAATAAAACCAGAAGCCAATGTGCTATGTTTTATATTCTTGTTAAAATGCCTATCAATCTCATCACCATAGCCTGGCTAAACCCATTTTCCTGACTGTAAACACAAACCAAACTACCCTAAAAACATGCACAGGAAAGTTCAGGGGCCAGGCTGAGGGTACAGAAGTTGACAGCTGCCGCCTAAACACTGGGGGAGTCCTTCAAAAGGAGAGGAATTCTTTAGACCACTGAGCTGAGGTCTCATACCTGCATCAAGCCTGACGCTTTGAAAAGCTCCTGTGGCGATCTGGTCCCAGAAATGTTTGGAGAACGCAGTGACAATATCCGACTGTAGACTTTGTTTCGTACCTGTCAGAAAACAGCACTGATAAAACAATATTCTGGAGCCTGAAGGTAACAATTAAGCAACTTATCTGCTGATTAAAATATGAAATTTTTACAGTTACACTCTGAAGTGTAACTATAAACACAGTTACACTTTCAAGTACTTCGATCTCTTGCTGTTTAAAACATTTGGACATGGATGGATGTGACATCCGTCACATCAAAACCAAACCACACAACACTTTCTAAGAGCTGACCTACTAATAAATTGACCAGCTAGTATGTAACTCACCCTAAATTCTGAAATTTATCATAGTCCCTCATAAAAAGGATCACTGATATTACCTGGGGGGGCAGAAATTCAGTACCCCTTAATCATCGAATATCAATGATTTCTAATGTTACTGCAAAAAAGAAATAATTTGTTCAATCTTCAAAAATATGAGCTTCAAAACACTTATATTACTACTGAGGTGACCTTAGTAAAATAATAATTCTGTATAACAGAGAGAGACAAAGGAAAAAGGAAGATCTTGTTTGATCTATCTTTTCACATTTGTTCAGTTTCTAGGTGCCAGATTGCAGTGTAGATTTCCATGATGACTCTGTAAAGCAAACCTTTTGCTATTAGTGCTACAGTATTAAGAAAGGCACCAGACTCAAATATAATCACTGATCTTAAACTTAACCTTATGCTTATTACATAAATCCATGACATTTAAGAAACCCATACCTCCTTATTGAAGTTGAGGAAATAGTTGGTTTGATCCGTAAGGAAGATCTCCAAAGCTGATCTCCTCAGGTTGTACCGACGCAAATGGATCTCTCGAATTTGAGAAAGGTGCCATTTGAAATCAAAACCTACCCCTAGGAGGAACACTCTGTTTACTGAGTTGGAATATATATTTTCAAAAAACCTTTTTCTACAGATACAGTGCACTACCAGCTCCAATCATCTCAAAAGTTATTCCTAGAAAGTCTTACAGTTGATGTGATTAACCACTTTGCTAGGAAAATATTAACTTCAGATATTGTGGTGCTGAAAGAAATGAAGCAAGAAACATCTGATGGCATGTAGAATTTGTTTTTGCTTTCTGATTAAAGATGTATGATAAATGTATTCTGTTGATAAGAAGTATGAACCAACTCCTTTTGCTTTCTTAAACAGGCTCAAACGAACTTTTACGTTTAGATTTCCCAAAGGCTGAACATTTTGGTATACTGATTTGGAAAATTTTACTATTATTTGTCCAACATTTCATTTCAGTGTTTTCACAACCAGCTGTGCAAGTTCTATTAAATTTCCCTAAATTAATACAGATGATTAATGCTTACATACTACTACTTTTTAATCAATGCATAAGTACAACATTATTTGTTGTAGAAAGAGAACACTGAGGTGCCATTTACAAAGCAAATTAGAGGTAGTAACTTTTTTTTAAGCAGCAGGTTTTTTAGTAAGTTATTTTTGAGAAATACTAAGAATAGTTAATCAATTTACCAACTCAGAAAGTACAGTTCCAGATTCTTGATTCTGAAGGGATCAGTCAGCCACTAACCATCAAGTGCAATATCAATTTTGTCTCTTTACAATTACTTTGACACTCATTTTCAAGACATAAAATCAGCCTACTAAAAGCAGAATGCTGAACTATACTGAAAATAAGGAGATATTGATCACACTTACCTTCCTCCTTCTCAATGCTAACATCAAAGAAGTAGATGTGCTGGGTAGTGACCTCCAGCCTGCCTGGTATCACATCAATTACTGTAATGAGTTCACAGTCTTCAGACAATATTAGCTTTTCTTTCTGACTTTGCTCATCCTTCTCATCCCTGCAAAAACACCACTAAGTATTACAGGGCTGGGTGGATTTTACTGTTGCTTAGGTCCTTGGTCAGAGTACAATTCAGAAAATAATCAAATTTGAATGGCATTAAAACTGCAACATAAACAATTATATAAAGCTGCTTTAATCAGCAGCTTGGGTGGTTCAGACTAGACTACAAATATAATTTTATAGCATCACTCTTCTGTCTTGATATTTTCATCTCAGGCACAGTGGACTTGACTTCATCTGAAGTATGAAAATATCAGGCTGCATTACCCTTTCTTATTTAATTGTTAGGTGCTTAAGTTCTCTGGAGGGTAGAACTGAGTTCCAGCTCATGTGACTGAAGTTATCTTCAGAGTTATTTTGCTATAATCTAGAGCAAGCATTTAATAACCTTTAAAGGACAAAATGTATCAATACCACTCTGAGTGCCAATTCTACTGCACTTAACAACCCAAACACACATAGATGCATGCACAACATATGTCCAATTACTGAAGCAAAGCATTTGCTATCCTCCCTCAACTCTCATTTCCCTGCTCTCTTTCTTTCCCCCCTGCCTTTTTTTTGGTTGCAGTCACACAAGTGACACAAAGGAAGCACAGCAGGCTTTCCCTCTGGAATGCTCTTAAATACAAGGCACTCTCTAGCACTTAAATGGCAGCTACACAAATTCTTGTGCTATGCAGCTGAGAGTGGAGTGAATGACCTTGGCAAGTATGGAGAAGAGGCAGCTCCAGTCTGGTCCATGTCCTTACACAGCAGATTGCCTCCCGAGAATTCTAGTCAATATACATAGCAGAAAAGCCTTAACAATTCTGTAGCTTCAGCCCACCTGTAAACACTGAATCACTAATGGATTCTCATAAACATCTGCTCTGACTTCTTTTCCCTGGGGCTTTTCTTGTCTCAATGGTGACAATGATAATCCAACAGTGACTTTGCTGATCAAAACTGCCCTGGATTGAGCTGTTAAGGCCAGACAAAGAAAGAGGGAAACTCTGGATGCCATTCAACTCCCAAAGTTGTTTCTCGCTCCTTATCCCTAGCACAGAAACAAGTGACAATTCCTTATCCTGTTCTACTTACAAACTGGAACTGGCTGCAGTGTCTTCTTCTGGTAGTTCCAGAACATCATCTTCCAAGTCACTCACTTTCACCTGCTTCACCACCTCCAGAAGCAGAGACTCACTGGAGGGCTGTGTCTGGTGCACACCTAGCATAAATGGACATAACAGCTCATAACTTTTCCTGCTACAATACTTTTGGAAATCTAACCTACTAAGCCTGTATTCTACAGCTGAATTTTGGTTTTAACCAAGTAAGAAGCAACCAGGTTTCTTCAGTATTTTTGTGGTTAAGCAGTACACTACAAACAGTCCTTGAGCTACACTGAAAACTATGAGAGTAGAAAGGGAACACAATATGTAAGAAAAATTTAACTTGAATTCTGATGTGGACACTGACAAGAAAATATTTTGCAATATTTTTCTCGACTTTGCTAAAGCATGCAGATTTAATAAAAATGCACGGCATTTGCTTTTTGGTTATGTGGGTTTACAAGAGAGTTTTGGGTTTATTTTTTTGCTTGAGCCCTGATATCCAATACACCAAACTTAACAATTCCACCCCTAATTCATCTGTTTGGCACACTTGTAAAACAAAGCATTTTGTTTCTTCAAGAAAGAAGCAAAGAGATCAGAGTAAGCAGTGTTTGTTCAAAGCCTTTTAGAATTTGTGACTAAAACGTGTAGAAACAATCTCATAAAACAAAGTTGTATAACTTCTTATTTTAAAACATAGGAGTTAATTTTTATTTATTGTGCAACAAAACCCCACATTTCAATGAACCAGAACAAAAAGAATTCTACTCAGTACTCTGTTTCAGGTCAAAGAAACGTAATACAGATTTTACTACAGATGAAATAAAGAAAAAAACCATCCAGATTTAAGTATCTAGCATATACTGCTAATTAAACACAAAGAGGAAAGTGGGTATCTTTCTTTGGTAAGAACTCAAGTGAGATAGCAAATACAACTTTACCTAAATTATCTCTCAGGTCACTAGCATCCTGATGAGAGTTGAAGTTGTAATTCTGCACTAGTTTTAGTCTCATACGTGAAAAATTTTCCACATTTGAAAGTTTCCAGTGCACAGGACGCTGTTTCCTAGGAAAAGAAGAATATTCATAAAAATAATCTGAATAAAGACCTACAGGAATGAACTGATTACAAAACAGTTCATATTTATAAAAATACTGGTCATCCACTTGTACATTGTAAAAAATTAAAATATTAAAATGCAGTTTATTCATTTTGTTTCACAGTGCAGGTCTGATCATCACTATCTTGTAAACAGTATTTATTTTCACAGAATTAGCAAGGTTGGAAGAGCTGTTCAAGATCATAAAGTTCAACTGACAACCCACCACCACCACGATCACCCCAAAATTTCTAATAAGAACATTCCCTGACACAACTTGAGGCTATTTTCTCTTGTCCTGTCACTCAAGACTGTAGATACCAAGAATGGTTATTGCAGTCAATCTGACCTGGTTTTAACCACACGAAACAGTGAGCCAATACCTTTTAAGCATCATGTCCAGTTTAGGAACTCTAGCCTCACCTTTCAGCCCAAGGCCCACGCTCAGAGAACAAGTAAAGCTGGGCTGCTCTCCACTGCCTCAGGGTGGCTGTGTGTTGACTGCTAAGCTGTTTGAGCATGCTGTTGTACCTCAGATTTTCCTGCCGAGCCTTTCTGCTGAACGGCTCCACAAAGTGCTCCTGAAAGACCATTGCAAATAGATGTGGCACTGAATTAACTCTGACCTTGGAAAACAGCTTTCCAAGAATTCAGGGCAACAAGAAGAATTGGAAAAGGTTTAGCAAAAAAACATTCTGAAATTTTAAGGTAATTAGGAAATTTTAAAAAGCTTAGACCTAGAAGAAATAGTGCAAGACTAATTTAAAGATGTGAAGAAAGCATTATCAATGCTGAATCCACACTAAAGCAAATTTGCATTGTCAGAAAAGCAGTCAGTTTTACATATCTTACTGTAATGGGTAGGATTTTTCTTAGATTCTGGTATTCTTGATGTGACACTCATTGTATTTTTCCTTTAGCTATTTGAATAAAATAGACCTATAAGTTTTGTTATTTAGAAAGCAAAGAGACATGTAACTTCACTATGGTATTGCCTGTAATTACCAGTTAGTTCTAATGCTGAAACTCAATCTGGACCTTAGAGAGGTCAATTTAGAAACAATTTTTCCAGACATTAAATAAGAACTGGTCACTGTTGGAAATATTTTAATTGTATTGAAATAGGGTTAAACAAAAAACCTAAAGAAACAGCTCATAATGGAAAACAGGTTTTAATAATTCAAAACATGAATCAAATAGGATGCAGCTTATGGCTGAGCATATTTCTACCTTGCTGTATGAAAAGGAAGGCCTACTGTACTGAAATAACTTTGATAGCACATAATAATAGAGCAGAATTAGAAAGCATATCCTAGAAATGCATATAGCCCCACTACCCATAAAATCTTAACACAATTAACTTGTTTACAGTTACTTGAACTGGATCATCCTGAAATTCATTTTCTCCATCTTTTAGAAGGCAACTCGAAAGAGAGTTCTTTTAAGAGAGCCCTGCAGTCACTGAAAACCTTACCTGAAATTTAAGCTTACTTTCTCCTCTTTCCCGGTCTCGCTTGTGCATGTTCACCATAAATGCTTCATAACAATCTTTCCAATAAAGTGCCATCTGCTCATTATCATGTCTGAATGAATTCTCTTCATATTGCTTCATATTTGGAATAATCTGGTTCACCAAAACGAAATAAAAAGTACCATATGATTTCTAAATGGGTTCCTCTGCTTTCATGGCTGAAAAGAGGGAGGAAATGATAGAAAAAGAATTTACTACTTACATATTTGTCAATATAAACTTGCCACTCCTCAGATCTGCAGTATTCTTGAAAGTCCTCAAAGAAAGATGGGCTGCCATTTGTAGGAGGCAATGAAGGAAGGTGCAGATTCATAAAGAGAAGTTCATAAATCTTGGATACCAATGTCCGAACAAGGGGAATCAAAAATGAGTAAGTTTCTGTCTTCTCTTCAATTGACCTACTCAAAATGCCTTCCAACTTCCCCAGGAGGTAGCATGCTTCAGGCTGGCTCTCAATTACTTTTGTCTGAAGGAGGGTGTTTAGTTTGGCTGCTGCCATAGCACAGACCTACAAAAACAAACAGCAAAAAAAACCACGATCCTCCTTGAACACCCATCTTTTTCCTACCACTCCTGCCTGCATATTCCCATCCTCAAACAGAAGCCCTCTACCTCTTTGCTGTGCTCTGGAGATGCACATTGACAGGACTGTAGAGTAAACCTGCAAAAGCTAAGAACCAATAAAACATCTTCCCAAAAGAAGGATGAGGGACTGCCATAGGTCTGCTCACTGATATGAGCAGCTCTCCGAAAACCACAACAGTTAAATGAAATGTGCCCTTAAAACTCAAGTACCACTTGTAAGAATTTGCAACAAACCTGTAAGTTGTCTTGTGCAATAAATCCAAGGAGCAGCTGGACTTGCACCTGTGAAAGCCTAATTGCCTCTAGGCCAGCAGAGTACCAGACTGACAGACTATCCATGAGAGTCACTAGTTCTTCCAAGAGCTATTACAGAAATAGAAAATTAGCATAACATTAAAATAAAATATACTGAAGTAAAAGTAACAATAACTACTCTAGCTGGAGACACAATAATTTCGAAGAGCTGAAGAAGAGGTTGTGTTTACATTTATAATTTAACCAAACCCAGAAATTCATCCAAGAACACTGCAGTAATTTAAATAAATTTGTGACATCAAAAATCTACCTAGTCCAGTACATTAAGCCAAGTACCTCCCCTAAATAAAGTACATATATATATATATATATATATGAGTGTGTGTGTACAGGGAGAGAGAGAGTATATATGCTTATTGATTTTCCTATAAATTGACTCCAGTAAATGCCATATCCTTAGAAAATGTAAAGGACTCCACTCTAGGAGGCACTTCTTCCTGTCAGTATTTAAATAGTAAAAGTGATACAAGTCTTGTGAAAGGTGGGTATTCCCAAGGCAAATGGCACATTTTGCTATCCAGATGTGCTTGTTTCACACTAATACACCTCTATATACTCTCTAACAAATTACTCAAATGTAAAATCATTCTGACTGAAACGCCCCATTTAGGATATTACAGGGCTTTGAATTCTCCCTGGGCACAGTACAAGATAATTTATGAAAACACTGTTATTTTCAATTCAGAGTTGGCAAGAAGCACAATTGTCACCACTCCGAAGTTCTCATTTCTAATTAGGTCTCCCAACAGAAGGCAAAGCTTTTAATAAGAAACTTTTTTAAAACAAGCAATTAAAAGCTTTAATCTATGTTTACTTATAAGCAGGCATTTTGGAGAACAGCATAGAATTACTATGTTAATGACTCTTGATATTATACTTTTTTCTTAAAGAAAGTAGCCTTAAAAAATATTGTTAAGGATTTTTAGAGAAATAATGACAGTTTACATATAATCTCTCTCTGCTTTTGCTTAGAAAAATTGAAAAGCAAAGACAACTCCGACTGTGAAGAAAGTATAACCAGAGCCAGAGATTACGTAAATGCTGAGATAAATTACATGTGCTGAAACTCCAGTATGGGCCAAAACCCAGAAGTGCCATTTCCCAACTTGCAACCAAGAGCAGAGTTTTGGCTGGTCTTTCATTCAGGATGCTCAGAGAGTCATAAATGCTGACAAACAGTAAAAAATCTGCTTAGGCTACAACTGCTGCTGTTTCATTAGCTTTTACATTTTCTAAATATTTCTCCAGTCTGAAGAAACCTGAATTCTCAGTCAAGAGTACCACTTACATGCCTACCTAATTTGCAAAATTAACTACATTCCCTATGGTATTCACATTTTTATTCATGAAGGGACACTCTAATCCATTCTGCTATAAATCCTTACTCAGTAATATCTGTGATTTAATATGACTAGAAGCATGGCAGACTCCAAGCCAACAAATTTCTTGTTACCATTTCAGCCTATATACAGTACTTCCATTATGCAGTTACTGTACCTTTTCTGTCCATAGATTTGAATTAATTAGTCCTTCTGCCTGCAGGAAACCTTGTACAATTAGCAAGAGCTTGAAGGCATTTTCAGCATGTGTAGGGAGAGCTTTTGAATCTCTGTTATCAGTGACTGACCATTCTAACATCTTCTCCAGCAAGCTGCATGGAAACAAAATCCCAAAGTAAGTATTACATGTTCAGCATGTATAAGTGGCTTTTAAAAAATCCAATTAAGCATTTAATTGAATCTCTTAGTCTGCAGTTACATAACTGCCATCTTCTTGATAAGCCAATGAGATAAAAGTGACTGAGAGACTCATGAAAACAGCGATAGTTTTAAAACCTTCTGGCTTCGAGACATTCCTGAACAGGTACAGGAATATATTTCTGACAGTATGTGAAGGCACAGCAGAGAAAAGTACATCTTGCTGGGAAACACCCAGCTTCCCAGCTTCATTCATGTCCCTCACTTCTGTTTCTCCTCAAAAGGGATGAACTGTACACTCACTTGAGTTTTATTTCATCAGAAGGCCGCAGCAACTCGTTAGACATCCCCAGTTTGGTGAGAGCAGAGAACACCTGTCCTCTCTCAATCCAAGCATCATCATCAGATTTTTCAATACCTTTCCACATTATACACAGTAGGATGTCTGTAAGTAACTGTATGAGTTCATTATCACTCCCCTACAAAAGAAGTTAAATATTTAAGGCCCTTTAGTATAGAAAACTTCCAAAATATTTCTTATTCATCACAGCCCCTATGCTTTCATGCTTCAACATTTGAAACTCTGCAGACTAAAGTCCAATTTTTTCAATTGAAAAGCTCACAAAAACACAAATATAAGAGACTGTGGCTTGCTTGTATGATGTAAAACAAGCTGCCTTTAGCCACCCTTGATTTTTTCACAGCAGGTCTGCTCCATGCTTCCTCTGGATGATAAAGGATGTTTAAATATAGAGGGGGAAGAGTTTGCAGGGGGCTTTCTATGGTTTCTTGTGGTTGGGAGGAGAGGTTAGCCTTATTTTTTGTTTGTTTGTTTTTTTAAAGTTACCCCAAGTGGACAATGAAAAAAGAAGACACATTACGAAAGGAAGTACCCCTATTCACTATAAAAGAGCCATATTGGTCACTTTTCTGTTGAATGGTAGGAGGGCCAAAAAAAAAAAATCATTAATTAGGGAGATTGAAAGAACAAAATGGAATTTCCAACAGCTGGAGAAACCAGTCCCATAGTTACTTACTCCTTGGTTTTCAAAGAGAGAAAGCTCAGCAGCGAGGCCCTCGTCATTCGTAACACCCAGCTCTTTGTCAGGCTGTCCAGAGAAGGGCTTTGTGCTCTCTGTGGGCGAGGGAGTGCTGGGCTGGCTGTCTGTCATCTGATTCCCAACATCAGCCAGTTCATAAGAGTCAACACTGGACAAATCTAAACTCAAATGTGAAGGATTACTGTGCCATAGTTCTACTCGGCCCTCCGATCTGAAAGACATCTCTGCTGTGGATGCATCTTCCAGTGGCATAACAGAGAAATGGGCAGGGACATCCAGGGATTTGTTGTCTTCTAAACTCCACTGATCAAACAGACCATTAACTGATGCAAAGCTGCCAGCTTTCTCTCTCTCTGTCTTATAAGCTTGATGTTTCTGAACCTCTTCAGTAGGCTTTTTATCCTCTTCCCTGGAGGAATCAGTCCTGTTCTCCTTAAAGCCAATCTGTACCTCTGAGTTTTCTTTCAGGAATAGTCTAACCAAAGTGTCCTGCCAGCCCAGCTGCTGAGAAATCTGTTGTGCTGCATCCAATTGGGAATGCAAAAGGTGCAAAATCTAAGGATAGAAGATATCCCAGATCTACACATTAATTTTAGCATCCATCTGGCTTTTCAATTAAACATTTTACAATCTTACAACTTCTTTACTTTTCTTACAACCTTATATAAAGAGCCATAATCAGCTAATAATAAGCAAACCAGCCACAAAGTATTTTTTCCACATAAAAAACATATATTTGAAAAAAAACAATTCTCAGGAGTAGGGGAGAAAAGAAGCTATCAAACCATATTAGTAAGTTGCCATATTTCAGTAGCTCTTCTGCAACAATCCAGTTATCTCAATAAATACTCCCATCTACCCATAGTCTAAAAAAAAATACTCAAATAGAAAATATGCTTGATTAGGAACTATTAAATAGAAAAAAATAAAATTACAGTATTAATAGCTTACTGATAGTGTAAATTATAGTTTCACTTCTTCATTTTGAGAAAGCTTAACAGACTATATAGTGTCTTACAGCTACCATTCAGTACTAATTCCAGTGATACAAGCTTTGATAAAACTCAGTAATTCAAGGAGCCTACTATCTCAAACCTGTAGAAAATGCAAGCTATTTGAGAATCATGATAGACGCTTCTTCACTTTTTGTTTTGGCTCTTGAAAGTACTTGAGTACACAAAATTCAACAGTAAGTGACAGATAGGTCTCTTTTTTTAAATAAATCATTGGTAAACATTAACACCAAATACTGCCAATGTGCTTCAAAGAAATAATGTAGTTATCCCACTGTACAGTTTTATAGGCTTGAAGGACAGTATTCCACTAAAGAAGACAACTAACCTTTCTACAGATAATCACTCTCATGTTTATATCTGATCTATGAGCCAGATACACTACAGCTAGAAGATCTTTATAATTCACAGCAGGATCTGTAGGGAAGAAAAAAAAAAAACCACCATAAACAATATCACACAAGAGAACATAACAGATAAGTATTTCGATATTGCCTTGGAAGTTACAACTGCATCCAGGGATAGTAAAAGGAACAAACTTCAGGGAACTAAGAAAATGTTAGCTGAGACAAATGGGAACTGCGACTAGAACAACTCTACAAGTAACACCTCTGGCTTTCCTCAACAAAAACCAGGTATGCTGGCCTCTGAGCAGCAGAAGTAGACTAATGTCAGATATAGCACTTGCCAATTACCTGCATACAGAACTTGGTTAAGCAGGTTTTTAATAAGAGAAACAGTAACTGAGGATTCATTCAGAAGGAGTCCCAGCCCGGAGTACCCCACTTCTCTGAGTCGCATACGGTGCTTGCTCCGCTCATAAACTTTGGTACATTTCAGCATCTCTTCCACAATCTGTAAGGAAAAGTAGACACAAATGCAAATTAAGCACAGAAAAGCATCCATATCTCTCAAGCTTGTATATGATATATCATGCTGGTCCACAGTTTTTAAAGTTTATTTGATAAACTAACTCAAACAACATAGTTTTTTTAAAGATCCCAATACTGTAAGAGAACACTAATTCCTTTGTGACAATGCCATCTAGCTAACACAAGAGAAAAGAAAAAACCAAACTTGGATTATTAGTATCTTTGTAATGAAGTACATTTCTGCCAGACCAATAGAAAATATAAATTTATGTTCAATTGATTAATTTCGGAACATATCATTCAATTCATTACCTTGAACACAAGTTCTCTAAGCCTGTCAGAGTATCTTTGATGCAATAACAGAGCATAAAGAATATCAGCATTCCCTGGTTCAAAGAGCAATAAAAAAAGCTGGTCTGGCGTTGGACTGGAATGAAGCAGGCTGAAGAGAATGTCCAAAATTCCACAGAGCTACAAAATTAAGACAACCAAATTAACACCCAGTTCATTCAGATTTCATGCTTTGTTTTAGGGAAATTTTCTTGGTTTTTAAGTTTTACCGTTGGTGGTTAATAGACATTTGTTGCTCAATATTACTACATTTAAACAACTTTTAATACATTTTTTCTCTCTATAGAACACCTATCAAATTAAGCAGGGACACAAAGCAAGTTCAAGTGCTGTTGATGCTACAAAATCGAAACTACATGATCACAACTCCTTGTCAGTTGAAGGTCAATTAATTTGGTTTTTTAAACTAAGAAAACTTTTCTACTGGCACATCCTTATCTTACCTATATCTCAACAGAACCACACAACAGTTAACTTTTTGCTTGTGGCCATTTTCTTCTTTGTACACCCTTCTTTTAAGTACAGAAGGCAAGACTTCTAAATGCCAAGATGCAAAACCAAACCATGTCCAGTTTAAACTATGAATTTATGCCATGTTGCATACCTGCTCCTCGTCACTGGTGGCAGCTATGTATCCTACAATGCTCTGAATTTCTTCATGTGTTCCACCTTTGCTCAGGAAATATTTAATCAGTCCGTACAGGGATGTCCGTATTGTCCTCAGGTCATCAGGAGCCAAATCACTGTCTTTACAACCAGTCCTGTTTGCCAACAGACCAGAAAGGCAACCTAAGGAAGTTCTTCATGGCTCATTAATAGCAATTTGATGGTGCCAGTCTGGTAATTTTTCATCTACCCAGGCATTATGCACAAGTTTTCAATTTTTACTGAACACAAGCAACTGAATAGAAATAATTAGATCAGACTTTGCAGGCCTATAAAAGCCATGAAGTGTAGACTTGTACTGATCTGGATACAGGTCAGGGTTGCAGGTTCCCACCTCCCACAGGAAAGAGCAAAGTCTCTTGCCAATCATCCTCAAACACATATTAATAAGCAGATATAAATCATCAGCACTGCAAGGTTAAAATTTCAAATTTCTAAAAAAAGTTCTACTTCAAATTCTACAAGCATTTAAAAGAATTTAAAATGCTAAACTTTTTATAATGTTAATGTTCTATGACTTAATTTGCATTGTTGAACACAAGTCCTACTATTTTGTAGTTTTAATTATTTCTTCAAGTGCTCCTAGTGTCACTAACAAACTTTACATAATCTTAGCATAATAATTCAAGGCAAGGCAAAGTAGTAAGTCAAATGGGAAAAAATAATTTTGTAAACTAAATCAACCACCAAAATCCAACCTGTTTTATTTATTTTCTCATTAGAATGATGGCAAAGAACTCCAAGAGCCACATACAGTAAATGAGGATTCAGAAGTAGTAAAATTCATACCCATAATAAATCCTGAGTGTGTCCAGAAGAAATTGCACACCATACTTCTTTCTGAAGAGCCTTCTACTGTCCTTGATGATTGTAGAAAGATACTGTATATGACCTACAAGAAAGTTTTCTTTTAGAACCAAGATAAAGATTTGTGTCATGTGAAGAGTCCTGCATGTTCACACAGTTGCCTGAGGCCAACAGCTCACCGATTCTGAAGGGAAAGTCACCACTGTTCCAGATGCTGAAGTCAAAAAGCAAGTGGTGATACATCTGTTGCAACAGCTGCATGTTCTTTTCTACTGAGACTTGTTCTATCAACAACTGTACAGCCATCAGGACATTCACATCCATTAAGATGCTTGGCACCTGGCAAAATAACAACAAAATACTGAATGCCCTAATAAAATTTGATTTTAAAAGAAACTTAAACTTCCATTTTTTAATCTTCTACAATGGAACAATGTCCGCTCCATTACAGCAATACATTACTCTATTAAAGCAATATAATGAACACAAAACTAGTCTTATTTGAATAATCAAACAATGCAATATCTATATCAAAAAAAAAGCAGAACATGAAAAAAAATTTCACTTTGCAGATAAATACCAACTTCTCACACCTTTTTGCTTTCAGAAACACAAGAAAGAAAATTCTTACCAAGGAGGCCTTTCAAGACCGTGGCATTCTGGCTATGCTTCAAAATAATCAGGACTTCATCCACAAAATTCATTACTGAATGATGTTTCTCAAGTTTGCTCACCTTCTGTAACAAGGCTCCTAGGGTGGCAACTCCATGGGAGTGAATGAGATTTTCTTGATTAACATGATGCCCCTGAATAAAGTGTTTTATCATCAAGATGAAAGTTGCAACTATGTTCTTCTCCAGACGTGCTTCTGCAGAATAGAACAACAATAGCAAAAGTCTTAAGGTTTATCATTTGAACACTGCATAAAAATAGAAGGGAAAAAGTAAAATCAAGTGTTTATATTCCTCACTACTTCCTGAACTTCTCAACTCCTGTTCCTTAGCTGTAGCCTGTCTTTAGATTTTTCTCCTGTGCAGAATCACAGCCATTCCATGCCTCTCCAGAACAAAGTGATCCCAGTCCTGACTTCAGTTGCTTCATCCATAGCTGTAGGTTACAAACTTCTTTGTTAAAATCTCTTACAAATGCTGCAGTTATTTTCCCTCTGTAGTTGCAAACTGACACTTCTGAGCCATGGTATGCAAAAAAATTAGAGACACAGAGAAGATCTTTTTTTGACTCTTCTCCAGCATTTCATCTTTGAAAAAAAGTGGTGCTCTGCCTTGCAAGGTCTGATTTCTCAGTATTTTTTGTTAAGGTCCGTTAATTCTCAATATTAGCAAAGTTTTTTAAAAATCTATCATTAAAAAAATCAATCCTTTCAGTATCTTTTTATTTTAATCTAAAATGTGACTGTGGGGAAGAGGTAGGAGCCTGAATATTTTATTAAGAAAATACAAGTTTGGCTAAAGGCTAAACAGTGCGGTTCTGATGATGTTGTCCCCGCACTCGATCTGCAGGAAAGCTTCTCCTGTTGATATTAGTAAGTTTTACATCAAACATAATTTCCCAAAACAACCAGAATAGGAATTAAAACAATATCATACCTCGGTATCCATAACAGTAAATCATGAAATGAAAAATAATGCTATTAAATATATCTATACTTGAAATATGTTATATTATTTTTTATATAGTGCTGAACTCCTGGTATTCAGTATCTATGTCAGGTATCTAGGAACAGAAAGAGCCTTTCAGCTTTCCACAGATGTTCTGGAACATTCAGCACATAATAAACAGACTTCTGTAATTCAAAAAAGGACTTATAAAATCAAGCTTAAAAATTAGTTCACTTCAGTTTCACTTTCCTACCTGATGCTTTTGGGGATGAAAACACCACCCAGTCACCCTCTACAGGAGTTGCAAGTTCTGGAGGCAGTGTTTCTCCTTCAGACTTCTCAGGCATCTGTGCACCAAGAAAGCTGATCTGCTCCAGCAAAGGAAACAGCACATTCATTCCACCAATACAGTTGATCATATCCTGAATCAAGAGAAAAGGCAGGAAAAACACTATAAATAAAATCCCTTCAACTATAGCAAAAATTTATTCCACATACAGGAGTACTCACAAACCAATAAGAATGTCTCACAGGCCACCTACACACGGGCCATCCTGTCAGCTCTTGTTCTGAAAGTACATTTTGTAAATTTTCTTCCTCCTCCCACCATATAAACACTGAAAACTGAAGGGCACAAAAGCTTAGGAAGAATCTTCTGCTAAATATATTTGAAAAGCAGGAAAAACATTTCTCTGATTTCTAAGTTACTTGCAGCAGGCAGTAAGAGAAGACTAAGATTATACACATCTCTGCTTTAATTATCTTCTTCCAACATTTCAACTTCAGGCAGTTAAATAATAGAATTTTATTTTTTTTTAAATAACTCTACATATACATCAATTCTAAGTCTCTTCTTAAAATTCAAGTCTCCTTAATCCCCTTTTTTCCCCACCTTCTCACACGCAGAGACAGCACAAGAGAGTCCCTGGAGGTGTTTAAGGACAGACTGGATGTGGCACTTAGTGCCACAGTCTAGTTAGCAAGATGGTGTTTGGTCACAGGTTGGACTTGATGACCTCAGAGGACATTTCCAATTTAATTGATTTTGGATTCTGTTATTCAAATAATGCTTGTGATAAGTCATAATATATATTACAACAAGATTTCTAGAAGTGATTCACAATCACTTCAAAATCAGGGTCTTAGCAAGCTAGTCAGAGACACCCACTCATTTCCCCAGCTTGCTTCAGAGATAAACAGTGTGAGGTTCATTACTTGGCAAAGAGGACAAACTGAAGTATTTTAGAACTATTCACATCCTAGCAAAATTAACTAACAAGTGTCTGAATTTTCTTGACATCAGTCTCAGCAAGTGATTGTAGAGATATGCACAGTGGATATGTACAGTGTAGCTCCAACATTATTTCTTTATTAATCAGTTTGCCAGTACTGTCAATTGTTCACTGCTCTCAGAAAAAAAGGCTGATCTTATTTATAGAGGATACATTTTCCTCAAGATGAAAAAACGTGGTGTTCTACTGACAAGTCACAAATGTTAACTAAACCCTAATAATCTGCATCTAACTCAGAGTTTATGACAGCAAGAAAATCATGACAGAATTCCCTATAGATGACAAAATGCTATCAATACACAATATGCAGTCAACATTATGAAGAATAGTCAGCAACCACAAAATATCTTCATGCATTGTGACAATAAAAGCAATGACCCTCCTAAGCTCTCAATAAATGTAATGTAAATGTAACACTACTCCAGCTACAGTGTTACCCCATGAATTCTCAGTATAAAAACCTGGTGCATCTGTTAAATATAATTTGCATTATGATGATAACTTCCAGCATTCCAAAAGCTAGATGACCATTAAGTGGCATCCCCTCTCTGGCAACAGAGAGTGACAGGCACAACTTTCCCAGGCATTGTTCTGGGAAAGGCTGTGAGAAGATCAGAGTAAAGAATGAGAAACAATTCTTATCTTCACTTGCTGCACCTGTTGTTGTAAACATGTGGAATGTGTTATGGAGATCTGTTTACCAAAGGGTGATTTCTTAATTGGCCAATGGTGATGGTGTTTGGATTTCAAGGACCAACTGTGTCCACCTGTATCAGACTGTCGTAAGGGCAATGGGTTTCTTAGTAAGTATAGTCTAATAAAGCAATTTATCAGCCTGCTGGAATCATGGAGTCAATGGAATTATTACCCAGCTGGGGACGCCGTGCTATGACAGACATGCACAGCCACCGTCATTTTTACATCAGGTTCTGCCTCTTCACAACACATTTACCTTGATGTCCCAATTCACTACTTTGTTTCCTGTTAGTCTTCCATGTAAAAGATTTGCAGACAGGTCAAGGCAAATTGGGTTTCTGCAGGCCTGTTAAACAAATAAAGAAGCCATGATATCATCAAGCACCTACAGATGCTTGGAACACAAGATTTTGTGCCAGTGTGTTGATATTGAAGTATTTAAACAACATGAAACCCCTAGAATATAACATATGACATTTTAGGTTTGACATTCTCTATTGCACAAGATAATTCCATCCTTCTGCTAAACCTACTATGTCTGCACAAGACTACAGTTGAAGAAAGCTCTCACTGCTCCTTATCTTCCCATAAAAGCCACAGTGCAAACACTGAAAGCAATGCATACTATGTAGTCAAACAGAAATTATGTCTTGTTTCATACCTTTGGTGTATAATGAAGCAGCACCTTACTGGGGAGGTCTGCTACTTCAGCTTCTTGAGATTTCCATGGAGTTAAACAGTTTGGACCTATTAAAAAAAATAAAATCATATGACATATTTTTAAGAGTCCACTGGTTATTAATGTTGCCCTTTACAAATTTTATACTACCACACTTGTTATAGGACCAAATAGGACAGTCTGAACCATATCTGTTTGAGACATGCTTTGGAGTAGAGTTTCTATGACATAAATCATTCATTTCAGAGGGTCTCCTTAAAAAGGAACATTCTACATGAAAAGCTAAACTACACAAAGAAGAGGTGGTTTTTTTTACCTTCAAACAGCTCTCATGTTTGTCTGTACAAGCACCTATCTCATATTTGTCACTAATCTGTCTTCAAGCCTAAATGCCCAGAAAATGAGCAATCTTCAAGATAGTTATGTTTAGCAATACAAAATATTTCCTTTAAATGATGCAAGTGTTTTAATGCCAATCTGTAACAACATCGAGTCATTATGCAGCTTAATACCTTTCACACTTTCAACTGTACAACAGTAGCTTTCAGAGTATTTTCTTTAAAATGACCTCTTCATTATTGATTATTATGGAAAAATCCTCAAGCATAAATCACCTTTAAGTAGCCTAAGAAATAAGGGCAATACATTTAAAGAGTCTCAATGGTAAACACATGTGGGCAAAGGGTAGCAAAAATTCAGAATTTACAAGTGAAATTAATACCTAATGATTTAATTTTGCAGGTCTGCTCATATGATAAACAGATGAGCTTATACAAATATAACATTTTAAAATCAAACTTCATAACATACTTATTAAATGTTAAGCTTATTTGCTTTAAAGCCCTCTCACTTAGGTCAGGTCTGCAGCTCTTCTGGATTTTAAGTTCTTCATTATGTGTCTGCACAGAGCAAAGCTTAGTGGGGTCTTGTTCATAACTCATTCCTTTTACCTTGCTAAAATCAGTTCAATCACCACTTACCTGCTAAATATAATGCTTTCACCTGAGAAGGTTGTAGTGCTTCATGAAAGATAATAACTGATCCAAGTTGGCCCTCCAAAGATGTTGGACAGCCCCATTCACTGTCCTGAGTCCCTGCTGAGATCATTTTGGTGATGAACTCTGGTTTTCCAAGCACCCCACCCCAACTTCCTGGAGCGAGAATGCCCCCAAGTGATGTCCGGTGGGGCATGATTGGGGAGGAAAAAGGCGGATCTGGTATCTGAGAGGGAGGAGGAGTTGTTGTTCTTTGACCAGCTGAACCAATGCAGCAAGAAGTAAAAGACTGGAGAGTCATACATGGAAGAAAGAAAACAAAACACATACTGTAAATGTATGCTTTAAATCTGAAGACTGCATCCAGCAAATCTGAACTAAATAAATGAAACCACAAGCAACAAGTTGTTAAGCCTTGAAGAACAAGCAATCCCTCACAGAAGGCAAAAAACCAGAGCATATACTTCTCATAATAGCAGAGAACACCCTCTTTCCAACTAAGAGCAATTTGGTTACCTGAAGTGCTGCATGACCTTTGGCAGGAGCACAGCAGGAAGGGCAGTACCTCTGTAGTACAGGGGTACCTCTGCAAATACTCCTCTTCTGGATCATATTCCAAAATACTAGCCCAGCATATCTACTACTGCACATTTCTTTTATCAGTTAGTCCACTCAAACAGATGCTCTCTTGCCCTGCTTCTAGTTACCTTGAGATTTATAATGTTTATTCTACAGATGGGCCAAAATCCAGTTTTATCTTGAAATTAAAACTACGCTTACTCTAATTTTAAAGTTTTATACTGATTTTACCATTACAGCATCCAACTTAACTGTTTTCTCAACATACTCAACAAGTATCAAATTAGAACATGGAAAAGAGGGCAGAATGTTGGGTGTTATAGCCCAGTTTAATATAAATTTGTTTCCCAAAAGGAATGAACAAAGCTTACAGAGGAAATGAAAGATACACTCATTTTGATGGCTAATGTATTGCTAAATGTGTATACATCCAAAATGGTTAGATTAACTGCATGTAAAGTGCTTACTAAAGGAATAAGAAATATTAAGGAAACATTCAAAAAACACCAGTAAAAATATATTAAAATAACAGAGAATTCCTCATGAGTACTGTTGCATCAATCCTACTGGTAGAGCTACCAGTTATTATGATGTCATTATAAATTATGTCATTATGCTCAGGCAATTATTTTGAGGAAAACCCCACTATTTAATCAATGCCACCTGGTAGACTTTTTAGTTTTAAAACAGAGATGTCTAAACAGGAATTATTTAATGGTTAGTTACACTCCAATATTATATTCTGGACAGTATCCACAGCTGAACATTACTAGCAACAGTCTGAACACTCGTTGTATGAGAGCTTATCCTAGCAGGCTACGGCTCAGAAGGGAACTTACTTCATTCATAGCAGGGAATCGAAGTGGGGCAGAGACCTTCTGCTGTCCATTGACATAGATATACACGAGGCTCTGACCAAAGGGCCTCTTTCCAGGCACGTGAACAATGGTTATGTTGTGCTGGTTAAGCAATAAAAAATAATTAAGTAATTATTAGGAGCAGTGAAATTACTATATTAAACTATTTAACATTATCTCTACTAAGCCAGTGAGGAAAGCACCTAAGAAAATAAATACAAAGCATCAATAAGAATATAGTAAGAACATCTGCTGATTCTATTTCAAAGTAGTGAATGTAATGTTTACATAGAAACAAGTTTTTGAAGAGAAAGATACAGCTCTTTCACAGTAATGCACATCAATTCTTAAGAATAGGACTAGAAATGGATAAGGTAGAAACAGAACCACAGTTAATGTATTCACATAGCTCCAGAGCCCTCTATGCCTGTTTTAATTTAATATAAACACCTCTAATGCAGTAACAAGCTTAATCAACAAAAATGCCTAATACACATGCATAAGTTAGCTCAATCTACAACTTATCTATGTGAAAATTGTTTGCATTATTTGAGTAAAACTCCTCTTATGCAATAAATTCCTGCAATATTATAAAACATGCTATTTGTTAAAGGATCCAAAAACCATAATTTTGACTTCTGAGCTAACAATACAATCCCAAACAAAGTGTTTGCCAGCATCAAATCTTACCCAGAGAGAGTCAAAAAAGCAATGGTCAGGCAGCATCACTGTTGCATATTCCCTCTTCGTGCACACTGCAACCACCAATACCCCTGAGCATGTAATAAAGGCTTCAAACCCCATACCACTGCCTGTAAAAAAGCTACAAAAGACACACAATAAAGGAATTGCTTCATCAAAACTACCACCTAACAATACACTCATTAAGAAGAAAATCCACTCAAGTTGTTTGGTGGTAGCGCAATATTTACTATGTGATTGTTACTTCTCTTGTGGAAACCCAGGGCTGGGTTTCCCAAGAAACTGGGAATATTTCTCTGTCTGCTCTGGGGTGTCCTGATCCCCAGGGGGAGCACTGACTTCGACCCTCATTCATGGAGAAAACTTCCAAAGCCTCAAGGTAAACTAGAAACCACAAAAGTTTCTAGTTTCACACAAAAGTATGAAATAGATTGTAGATATTGTAGTTAGTAGTGTAGTACATCACATGGGTGAGAAATTTAGGTACTGTAGTATGTCAGTGAAAAATTTAGGAAATTTAGGTTTAGATTTTAGGATTTTTAGTATGTCATAGATGGGTTCAAGATGGAGGATATAGGGTGTTGTCTTGAGTTCCTTATTCCTCTTTCTTCTTGGTTTATGTGGTATCTTGCAATTGGGTAGAAAAATACACACTGTGGGTCTTTAGGGGTCAGTTATTGGGTGAGAAAGGAAAATAATTTAGGTGTCACTTCTTAATTGGATAGTTTAGTCTTTGATTAGACTTAAAAGGCCTTGTAACATGAGATTGTTAGCCACTTTTTGTGCTGTTTTTACTGCATGCAGAATCTGATGTAGACAGTGTGCTGAAGTTTTGATAACATAACAATAAACAGAAGCTGAAGACTGAAAAAGTCCAATTCGTCTCTTGTTCCTGACACAGAACTGCTCCAGGAGGATTTCCCCTAACAGGGGAACCCCCAGGGAGTTGCCCAACTTGGTGCCTGCAAACCCACATTCTTTTATTAAAAAAAAAAAAGATATTTTGTTTGCTTCTGTTAGTACCTAAAAAGTTAAATTATATCAAGAAGCATTCATGTCAATATGTACTATTTAAGCACCATGAAGTTGCCCTCCCACTTGAGCACTTATACAAATCCAGAGTTCATTACCTTTACCACAAACTGTGTGGAAGCTTGTTCTGGTTTTGGGTGGGAGATGCAAGGGACTGGGTTTTGTTTTTTAATGTTGTTTTGTTTAAGCAATGAACCTTACCACAATTTGGAGTTATGGATGTTGAAACTTTAGATGACAAGACATTGCAACAGAGAAACTACACACAAATTCTGTAACAGAACTTGGCTGTGGTGACAGATGAAAGCTCTTTCTTTCCCAGACTAAGCATTAACCATTGAAGATAAAGAAGATGAAAATAAGCAGAAGCACCACATATGCCCAGACAAATGGCCTACATCTGCAGGCTGTAGCAGTTACTGTGACTGTACCTGTAGAGCTGTTTCCTCTTGCCGCTTTTGCCCGTGGTGCCGGGCTCCACCCGGTCCTGGTCAAGGCAGAGCCAGGCGTTGAAGGAGAAGGCGGAGCCCGGCCACCTGTGGATGGCGGGCAGGGCGATGCCGGCCATGCTGTGGTGCAGGTTGAAGTACTGCAGGGCGCTGGCCAGGCCCTGCTTCCGCGCCATGGCCAGCAGCGCGCGCATCACCGGCACCACGTACGGGTGAGCGCCCCGCGGCTCCTCGGGCCGCAGCAGCCGCACCAGCTGGAGCAGCTCCTCCGAGCCCATGGACTGGCTCCCCAAGGAGCCCAGCAGGGCAATCAGGTTCTCTGCACAACTGCAGTGGAGCATGGAGTGGGAATTGAGGGTCTCGATGATACGGATGACCATGTTTGCATTGACACACGTGGCACGGCTCTGTCTGTCAATACAGCAGATTCGCCTCAACCAATTGGAGATGAAAATCTGCAGCTCATGCGATTCTAGCTCTGGAAGCCACTGAATGAGCAGCAATAAGGGCTGGACATTGCTAATGCCTAGTATCCCAACAGCCATGTGATCACCTTCAACAGCCTGAAAAACAGCAGGGAACTCAGACATGAAACACAAGAAGACAGGGCCAGAAGTACTGTTGAAAGATGCAAGCATTTCTGCTTCAAAGCAAGCACAGCTCACCATATTCATGAGTTCTTCCAGCAATTCCCGTGACGGCTGACCCAGTGATTTTAGTACCTCATATATGTGTGCATACCCAATTCTCTCCTTGAAGACCTCCTGAGGATAAAAATTCCCATCTCACTAACAAGTACAAAAATGCTTGTCTACTGCAGCAGGTAGACAAGCAACTTTTAATTTTAATTTAGACAATTTAATGCACTATTAGACACATAATAATTAAAGTTAGATAATAATTACCAGTTAGAAATCTATTTTTGATAACCTGTTTATTTCTACTGTCTCCAGAATGATGCAGATGAGAAGCATTTCACTGTAGCACACAGAAATTAAAGTTCAAAGTTGTATTTTATTATTACCTATAAAAGAATATAACTACTTTTGTATAATCCAAATGTTAATAATATCACAAGGAATAAATAGCTTCATTTTCATTTTTTAGTGCAAACTATAGCTTGACATGTTTACATTGGAAAACAGAAATATTTAAATATTAATCTTTCAGTAAAAGACTTTGCTAGACCCGATTAAAAACCACCTGTCCTAAGAACTGAAAATTAGAGAAGTGTTCCTCAGAAGTTTTCCTGAAAACAAACTGGTTTTACAAGGAAAAAAAAAAATCAACCAGCGAAGTTCAAATGGTAGTATCTATTTATGGTTTAATTATTAAACAGCCAACACATCATATGGAATGGATATCCTTCTCCTGGCTATAGTCTGTGCTGAAATGATTTTTTTGTTAAAGAATAAATCTTTCAGCAGAAGTGAGGTGATTACTTAGGTAAATGTGAAAAGAAAAAAATACACGTTGCAGTAGCAGTACAATTGAAAACTCTGACTCTCTGAATCCCAGCTAGGCCCCACCTCCAACACACAACTCTTCCCAGACTTTCCAGAGACAGTGGAGAAATAAACACTTCCAGTAATGCTCTGGAGGAGCATAACAGATCCTGTTGTCTCTCCCTTAGGCTGTACTGCAAGTAGCAAAAAAAAAAAAAAATTATTCTCACTCCTCCTTTATCCTCCACTGTACAGTCACATCCCTTTATCTGTGCCAAGTCAGGGAATCATTCAGCCAAGGGTTGAATTTAATTAACCCAGCAATCCAGGAATAAATATACTATTTTTCCATGGGCTTAGGTTCCAGTCAGAATCACAAACTAACTACAACCTATCCTTTTACCAAATCACAGGAACTACCAAGGAAGGACAAGGGGCAATAGCATGACCACCATCTGGACAGCAATACTGTCTTGGCTTAGTTTAAAGCTATACAAAACTACAACATAAACAGCTACCTGAAAATTCCTGTGAATACCCACTAAGTCTACCCATATATCCATGGGACAAGTAACATTGTACTTTTTTTACAAAGGTTCCAACTGCCATTATACTCAGATCTTCCAGTTTTGGTAGAAAGATTACAGTATTTAGCCATTAAGACATATATAAAGGGATAATAAATGCTAATCAGCTATTCCTATCTGGCATGAATGAGTGAGCACAATCTGCTCATCTCCATTAGCAAGATCCATCGAGGTATTGTGATAACACTAACTGGAAACAAGATCAAGAAGCTGCCAACAGCCCTCTGCATAGACACTGTTACCTTTGCAGCTGGAGACTTGTGCATTACTGCTGTGAGTGCTTGAATGGTTGATACTGCCAAGGAGTCCAGGTGTCCCTGAAACACCTGAAAGGAGCAGGTACAGAAGTCATATACAAACATTTCAGCTCCAAAATCTGTGCTGTGCCCTCCTGCCAGGGGGAAAACCAAGAGTTTGGTAACATGCTTCAAAAATCATCTCCCCATCAGTCAAAATTTAAAACCCCACAGCTTACAAGGAATTACATCACAGTAGACAATTGACCACAGACTTCAAAAGGAGAGAAGCATTCTCAACACAAACTGCACCTCAAATATTCTGATGGACAAACAAGTTTTCCTCATGCGTCTAATGGACAACCTCAAGAGGGAGGGAGGAAAACAATTAGGAAATCTCTTGCAGTGTGTGTGCTGCTGGAAAATCAGCATCTGCAGCTCATATAAAGTGACTTATTCTCTATCCAAAGCACTGCAAACTAACACAGCACAGACACATCCCCAAAATCTAAGAGATAAGTCACACCAGCACAGTTAGGTGGCTACCTCACCCAGAGCCTCATTGTATAGATTCAACACCTCTCTCTCTAATTTAAGTAATCTTTTGAGGTTTCTTGTTTATATTTCTATGATGGTTTTAGGAACAAATATGTTGGAGCACTCTTTTGTATCCATCAGTAAACCTAATTAGCAACACTATACAAATAAACATCTGTTTGTTTCAGAGATGATTTCATCATCTCTGAAATATGATGTACACCTCAGACATATTTTGAAAGTGAAATATCAAGAATCAGAAGATTAGATGTGAAGAAACACATGTGGTTAGAGCATTGTGCTGTGTCCAAGTAAGCCAAAGCTATTAGTTAAAAATCGGAACTTGTAAATAACCATCCCCTGTATTCAGCTTTTTTTTTTTTACATTTTAAATCAGAAAAAAGAATTCTACCATAAAATTAATACAAAAATTGGCATTTAATTTTCCACAATATTTGGGAAAAGTGAAGCAACAGGCTATTCCTACCTCCCTGATTCAGCCTGTCCATTGTTTTGTGAACATCTGTTCTTGATGACAAGCAAAGAACCAGGACACCAAACACAACCATTGAGATTCACAAACAAGGCCCCAGAATCCAAAACACCACAGTGCTGAGACAAAGAGCAAAAAAGAGTAAAAGGAGGGGAAAAATAATCATCATCAGATTGAGAAAATTAATTTGGATCCCATTCATGTGCTTCACCTTTTCCATAAAGAAGCATAACTGATGCTCATTCTATTGCCAATATCTGCAGTTTGAAGCTGATGAATAAAACACAGTCCGAATTCAATCTGTTATTCAGAAAAATCATTTTCCAGAGACAGGAAATGCTGATCTGTGCAGCATCAAAAGTTCATCTTGCTGCAGAAGGCTTAAGGAGGATGGTTAAGGTGAAACACAGGAATCAATTTTCCTGTGATTTTGTTTTGACTTCAAATGAAGCAAAATACATTTTAGGTAGGTACCTGGTCCTCATTCATTTCTGTCAGTAATTTGTTGGTAAGGTCTTTCTCACTCTTGTCTGCCACTTTATTGTTAGCATTTAAAAACAGCTGTTAGAAACAGAGACAAGAATAATGGAAATAATTGCATTAAACAGTTACCTGCAGCCAAATCTGTGAAGGCTGCCTTAGATTTGTATTTCACATACAAAAACAAAACAGGAGGGGGAAAAAGGAAAAAAAAGCTCTCTCACGCTGGTAAGATAATTGTCCATTAGTATTAGTCTTCTGTTAATTCTTAAAATACTGATGATTACATTGTATTTTTGCTAAAGAGTAATTACTTTTTTTCCCCCCCAAAAAAAAGTATTCACTGAGACAGAGAGATTTATCTGAATTTCTACTAATCTCTGGCTTAGCAACTGTGATTTCATTCACAATATGCAACACGACAGTTCTAAGAAATTTACTTGTAAGAAATAAAGACAAGAGTGGGGCATTAACAAAGAAATGGATACAGATGTTTCATTATTTCTCACTTATGTTTCAGCCTAGCTGAAAGCTGAAGATACCTAGATAGAATATTTTCATCTTCACACAGCACAGAAACAGAATTTCTGGGGCACACAGGCTTTGGGACAGGAAGGGCAAATATCTCTGCCATCATCCTAAGAATCCAACAAGTTGCAAATAGCTTTCAATTGAACATACAGCTATGCTGCATCTTCAGCTAAGAAACTGCTCTGTGCTCAGTAGCTAAATTCCTTATCAGTATCTGAATTTGATAGTTTCAAACTCACACAAATTCATAATCAATTGCAGTCAATTTGTGTGCCAAATTTAGCTGTAACATAATCAGAACTAAAATTTACATCCTTCTATTTTAAGATTCTATTGACACATTAAAAAAACCCTGACTGAAATGTTTTTAAAGTTCCTTAAAAAAAAAAAAAAAGTTTCCTTTAGTGGGTAAACCCTAAACATTTCTTCCCCCCCCCCCCCCCCCCCCCCATTTTGTTCCATTATCTGCTGGCTTAGTCTCTCTGAAGAGGAACAACCTGTGAAATCAACTTCCATAAATTAGGCCAAAACAAAGGACAACACTCAAGATATTACTTTGACTTACACAGGTGTGAAAGCACATTGTTAGAAACACTTTGAAAGGTACATCACAGTCAAGAGCACTTAACAATGCAGAGTAACTATAATAAGTCTCAGAGGACTATAACATTAGCAGAATAAGAACAAGAAAAGCAAATGGAGACAATGATAAAATAAAGAGTTCATCAAACTTTTGGTATGAGTTACTTAATTTCTCATAAGGCATGTGAAAAGGAAAAGTATTTCTTTTTACAATGTCTATATGGTTTTACTTTTTCCATTTAAAAGCTGTTCAAAACCCGTATTTTTTCTTTTTATCAGACGTACTGTTTGAGGTCACTGAGCTTTGCTCAATCTGACCTGTGAGGTAGTTCAACAGATGAGAAAAGATTCAGCACTGACAAACCAGATTGTTAAATGACTCTCTGTACAGAATAAGCACCTCCTGATACCTGTAAATTACAGTCCCTCTTTTTTGGATATCACCAGAAAAAAGTAGCATTCAGATCGTCAAAACTTCACCAGCAGTTTTGAAAAGCTTTTGTGTAGATCTCTAACCCTAAAGCATACTTAAGGAAAGACAGTTTGCCCATGAGCCTTAAAACCAGCAAACATGGGAAAAAAAAAAAAAAAGGATTTACATCTTAGAAGATTGTTATACTGCAAATGACTAGGAAGTATGAGTAGAAACATGGCCTTGAACACCCTAAGTTCTTTGGGATATCTATAGCAGAATAGTGGTATGGATTTGCTCTACCCCTTCTTTCCACTGAAATTACTTGCATCTCCATTTTGCAGAAGATGCAACAGCTTCCTGAGTTTCAGGTGTGTTTATGGACTGTCATGCTCTCTGCAGAGATGCAGAATGTGCTCTCCACACACAGCTTGCTTAGGTACCCAGTAGCAATTTTCACAGAATAAGGAATAAAATCCAGAACTAGGATCTCAACCCCCATCTAATAAGGAGAAATCCTAATTCGACAGCTAACTCAACCTTTGCTATTTGCCTTTGAAAAAGAATGGAGACACAGTATATCTGGAAGTACAAATATACTGCAAAACCTACCCTGCCTCTAACTCTCCCATTTCTCATCTGTGGCGGTATTTTGCCTGTGCAAGACTAAAAAAACCACACTGTGTAGCAAACTGGCAGCACTGATCTCTAAACAACACAGTGGTATGTGAGACTGTATCCCTGGAAAAAAACTTAACATATATTGTAACATACAGAATGGCAGAATGAAAATAAGAACAGCAAGCTGCAAGAAAATGTAGATCAATGAGCTGTTCCTGCTTTCTTAAATTCCACCACTTGTCTATGAGTGCAGGAACACAGCTAAGTGTCACCATGAAGAGGTAAACATCATGCTGCTGATGATTTTAGAAAAAAATAAAAAAGGAGTTTCTTATACAGTACAAGGTTAGTACAAAAATAAGCAGAGACTCCCAAACACAGAAGAATGGAAAAGTCAAACAATGTATTTTCAGAAGGAGATAATAAAGCTACAGACTATTCAAAACACTTCAAGTCAGTGGGCATTCTGCCACTGATTATAATTACAATTAGGACATAATCCAAACACATTTAATTTTAATACATCATTGCACTGAAATACATTCTAATCCAAAATCTAAATGGATTAGAAACAAATTGCACAGGGTAGCAAGTATTATCTACCATCAGAAGAGCTAGCTAGTTAGCTTTGTCACTAATATATCACATATTACACTAACATATCAAAAAAAAGAAATAGTTCAGAGAGTTACATCATATCTGTGTTCTTTCACACAGTGAAAAATAAAATCAGTGCAATCAGTGGAAGTTTGTAAATTCTGATCATCTGCAGCTGAGACAAAGACACTAGATCCTATGTAGAAAAGGAAATATTGAACATTTTTAACAGCTTGAGCTCATGTTTTATGTCAGCCACACACAGGACTCAAATATTTTGAAAGAATTAAAATGGGACAGCAGAAATATTTTTTTTTAATGGAAAAACATTCCTCTGAAATTAGAATTCAGACCTCCATCTGGCAGCAGCTAAGTGACTTTCTAATAATCCAGTGATAGAATACAAGAGAAACAAAACAAAATAACCAAACCCCACAAAAAAAGCCAAATAAAAGGGCAGGTGGGATTGATTTCTGTAATCAACATACTGTTAGAGGTCATTGAGCTTAGCTCATAAGTCTGACATCCGAGATATTTTAATAGGTAGGAAAAGATTCAGCAGTGATTCAAAGTTACATCAACATAACAGATTTTAGAGACTGAGCAGGGTCTACAAAGGTATTTTGCTCAGGACTGAAAGTATTCATTGCTTTAACCACCAGACAGACGTGAGACACCCCTACTTCATTAGTAATAATACAAGCCAGGGTTTGTTAAATATATGCTGATAAGGGAAAACTTACCTTGCAGTTTTGCAACAGTCGAATGAGATGCTCAAAGCAGTTACTGTTAAGGAAAATTGCCTGCAGAACAGGCCTATCTGTGCAGTCTAACATGGCTGTGATGGTATCTATAAAATTAAAACAGAACTGCCATCAAAGACAAAACACAAATCCATCAAGCATTTTTACCTGCACATTCCATAGTACACATCAGGAAAAAATTATACAAATTATATTATCTGCACTCTTGATCAAGAATGATACGCATGTTAAGAACAAATCACTAAGCCTAAAGCTAAACATTTTGATACTGTAAAGACTACCACAGACTAATATTATAGAGAAATTTCACCTAATGAGTATCTTTGATTGCTTTGGGGCTCTGAGTCAAGTAATTTCCAATTGTGAGGACATAAAGTAGCATCACCTTCTTTTTACAGCACATGAACATTTCCTTCCTCAACACACAATTACTCTGCATTCTACAGCAGCCTTGTACTGTAAGCATTCTCCATGGCCACAGTACTATTCCTGAGTTTTCTTGGAAGTATGGGAAAAGAAACACTTATTTCCCACACTGAACATCAAAATGGAAAAAACTCAAACCCCTGAATTCTAACCCAAAAACTTATACTCCAACCCTTTCAGACTATTACTTCTGGCCAATGTTTATAACAATGCCATTTGAAAACCAAACTATCACAAAACAGCACCACACAGTAATTTTATTAAAGACCAGTTTTATTCTGCAATTATGAAGGTTCTGATAAGTTTCACTTCTTGCCTAGCCAAGTTTTTCTCTTTTAATGGAGGCTTTCAGTCTATGAACCCTGACACTTTGGTTAAATGGTAGCAATCTGATATGGCTTCTTCTGTTTTTTTCATTAGTAAATTATTAAACAAGAAATAGCCAAGAAGAAATGTTAGAAATGTTTCAATTGCTTAGCCAAGTCACTAATTTTTGCTTCAGAGTTATTGTCAAGAAATATTGAAAGGACTTGTGTACTCACTCAGCATTTGGATCTGCAGCGCTATGAATCTGCTCTCCCACTGCCTGCATCGCCTTGGATTAGGTAAGGCTGAATGGTCTGAATTAAGCAACTTGAAGTAGTTCTCCAATATTGTACTTGTCTCGACCTGGCGCTGGTCAGAACTGCTGGTTAGGAGGATATGGACAACTTCTGTCAGGCACTTCAGAGTCAGCTCTGCCTTCCTGCTCACTTCCTCAGGGTTTCTGTCATCCCAGTTGTCACAGTCTGCTAAAACACGCATCAAGACTTCCATGGTGGCAGGAGATACTGCTTGAAGAGCATTCCTCTGAAACCCATTAAGGCAAAAATTTATTAAGAAAAAATAAATTTAGAAGAATTTAAACCTCTTCAGACCAGCTGCGTCTACTTGAGTTACCTGAACAATGCAATATGCATTACTCTACACTAATACTGTATAGTTGTTAAATAACTAAGAAACAATCTATTTGGATTATGCTGATGGCTACAGATGAAATGCATCTCATCTCTTTTTCAGAGGAAATACTTATAGAGAAAAGGAAATATAATTTAAATATGTATTATAAAATTCTTATAAGGTAGCCCTGATAAACTGCTAATTTGAGACAAACCTTCATGTGAGTTTTAATTTTAGATTATGAGATTCATGATACTTTAGAACATGTGGTAGAGCACATAATCATTAGCAAACATTTGCCTGGGCCCTGAATGAATTTTCCTCACCTTTCTTCCTGGGAGCCTGGCTGCCTAGGCTCAGGGACAGGAGCCCAGTGTTGTTGTGAGCTTAGAGAAGCCCTGTCAGGGATTCCATACCCTCTGTAGGGAGCTGTATCCATGTTTTCTCTCTCAACCCTTTACCTGTTTGATCTACACTGCAGCCATGGCCATGCCTGGCCATGTCATGTCTTGAACTACTGACTTGACTGCAGTTTGACCTTAGCCCTGCCTCATGGCTATGGATGGGGCTGGCAACCACTGGTCTCTTGACTGACTCTAGTTACCACCAGCACAGCAAACCCTTACGCTGATGTGCTCACCAGGCTTCCTGGCTTGACTTTAGGCATTATCACTACAGACTTGTCTAGTGGGCTGGGCTGGCCCATCCTGGCTCCAGCCAGCACAGCTGCTCCCATCACTGTCTGGGTGTAGTGAGATCACACCCTTTGCTGGTCAGGTCAGCTGCTGCTGCCCATCCTGCTCAGACTCCACTCGCCTTCCATGATGGAGCAGAGCTTGGCTTTGCAGCTTCCTGGCAACCTTTAAAAATCCTCTCTTCGAGATTATCAGAAGTAGCAGCTGCTTGTGACCAGACTAAGTAAGACTTTACAGAAGTCAGGTGAGAAAGTGGATGTTGACTTTGCTGCTGATGAATACCCTCATTTCCTCATGTTCTTTCAAACACTTTTAACAGCTTCCAAGCTGTAAAAACCTTAGGCCTCCTACTGAAAACAGCTTACTTTCAGCACTGGGAAGTAAGCTAGATCAGTTTCATACACATGAACATGAAACTTCCATCTTTGCAGGCAGAAATTCCTAATCTAGTTATGCACATTTTTTTCTTTAAAATATTATAGTAAGTTCATATGAACATGTAGTTGTTCTAAACAGCAAGCTTCTACAGTTAGTTGAAATTGGGATCCAGCTTTTAGTATTTAGGTATTATTGCCCAGAATGATCCCAAAGTTCCTAAGACAAAAATAATTAATTGTGGATAATAAATTCTTCTCATTTACAAGTTATGGAGTATTTAAAAGTCCTAACAAGGAACAAGCATCTGGAGGTTTCAGTAGCTGAAAAGTTCAGAGTATCCTCACCTGACTACCAGCCACAATTGCTCCAAAGAGATGCAACAGGCAACATTTTAGGCTTTCCTTGAGATGTTCACTTTCTTGAAAGCATTCTGATTAAATAAAAAGGAGATTTTTATTAAAAAAAAAAACAAAACACCAACAAATAATAAAAAACCCTCCTCTATTCCCTGTCATCATACAAATTAAAAACAAATCAACTGTATCATCTCCATTTGGTTTTATATAACTCAGACAAACACACCAATTCCAGCATTATCAAAGTAACACATCATTACCACATTTTTCAGGAATTCACAGGCCACACCTTCAGCTTGCATAAACTTCTCATGCCAGCTGACAGAATTACAGACATACAACTTTTGCTCTTGATTCACAATGTAAAAATGAGCCCATTTTGTCCAAACAAGTGAGAAAGAGAAGGACATTCTAACACACAACCAGTTATCTAGCACAACAAAGTTCTGAGAAATTTTGGCATGAAAAGTCTGATGCTATATGCAGTGCGGGTAGCTCAAAAAAAAAAGTCCCTGAACTTGCTGACTTTAAGGCAGATTGCCAGAGAATCCTGTGCAGATCTGTAATCTTTCTAGCAGTAATTTCTTTAATGACAACTATCCTGCATCTCTTCTCTAGCCATAGCTGATAGAAATTAGTCCCAGACAGCTTCAGCATCTCTTCTTAGCAATAGATATAACCTGGATATTGTTGTTACAGCAATAATGCTAGACCTAACATAGCAGCAAGAAACTACGAAGAATTATTTTTGGAAATGCCACTTATTGGCAAGTAAGATTTCTGACTATATTCTAATGTCCAAGTCTGTTTTAAAAGATTGCAGAGCTATTTTTCCAATCTGTTCTCCAAACAGAACAAAGCTTACTTAGACGATCATACAGTTAGGGAGTTAGTACCACCACTCCTTGACTTACACCCTCTGGATCTTTGTAGAACTTCAGACAAATTGAAAAGAGAAGTACCTAGCAGATTGTGAACTAATCATTAGGCTAGGTAGACTAAAACCACCCTGCCTCAAATTAGTCCTGGCATGGCAGGATGCTTAAGGCACACACTCAGCAATTTCTTAGTCTGTCCTTTCTGCCAGCTGGCCAATAAGCAGAAGAGTATCTGCTGGCTAATGAGCTTGCTTTTAGCTCAGTCACATTATATCGTGCACAGGGCACTGAATGGAGAGGAGAGAACCTACAGATGACATTCCTCAGTAGCAGCCTTTAGAGTGTGTTTCCAATGCTCTGGCACCTAGATAAGGGCATTTTACTGGTAGCAACGATTTGGTCTTTTTGGCAACTACCCTATTTTTTGTATGCAGCAATGGAATCTCAAGGAACAGGAGCTGTGACTCAAACCTAGAAAAATCAAATTCATAAATGTTCCTACTCCACGAAGATAATATTTTTTTTTCAGTTAAAACTAAGTTAATGGGTAGCTGCAAAATGGGCTGATTTCACTCCTTCACTGCCCATCCCTCCAGCTTGTTCCTGCTGCTTCAATCCTGTAGGCACTAACACTTTGGTATGCTAAACTGGCATAAACTACCTGGGCATCCTACATTCTTGAGATTTAAGTATAGAATATGGACATGTAAGTTCTTCCACATAATCTGTAATCGTAAGAACACATGAATTCCAAAGCAGCCAGCATGATATTTAATGACTTAACCAGAGAGAAAATTGTCTCCCAAACTCGAGGCTATGGATCATTTGCTAGTTGAATGGCACAGAGTTTCATTTTTTCTAGCTGTTAAATCATATTAAAGAGACAGACATGCATGAACACTCCCCTGAGATTATTTCTCCATGACAGTTATCAGCACAGTTACTAGAAGCATCTCATGTGCCACAATAAAAAGAAAAGCTGTCAATTCACAGAACCAACCCTACTAAACCACATTAGGCACTGAAATCAAGTCTAGAAATAAAGAAAAATGCTTTCAGAGATGAGCAGGAATAACAAAATAGTGATGCTCTAGAGCAAAGAACAAGTACAAGAAACAATCAACCAAAGTAAACCACTACATCCAGTCTCAGAAAGCATGTAAAGGACTTTTACATTACCAGGCATGCTTAAGAGAAAGTTACTTGGGCTCACTCAGTTCATTCCTCTACAGAAAACTATTTTTTTAACAGGCTGTTAAGTAATACTTACGGTAAAAAAAAGGGACAAACTCAACAGTGAGGGAAGCTGGTTTATACTTCTGTCTGCTTCTTTCAACTGTACTAAGGAACCGTCTGCAATTACATTAAAAAACATACACCAAAGAAATCAGACATGATACCTTTGTTTATTACTTATTAATTTATTACTTATAATATGAATTTATCATATGACATAGTAGAAAATGCTGCCATAAATCAGGAGTTATCTTTTGCCTACAGGATGAAAAATAATAGTGAAGTAGTATTTCATCCTGAAGACATCAATGACAGCTAATCCCGTATTCAGTACACACTTAAAAATACTTAACATTTTACAAAATGGTTTAGTTAAAAAAATAAAATATAAAAAAAACCAGAATTCTCTTATTTAGTCCATGCTTTTTGTAACTAAGCCACCAGCTAGAATGCCAAATTTCTTGACCAAGCAATTTTAAATGGGCAGGAAACATTATTATGAGTTCATTAGGCTGGTGAGAACACACAATAAAATTAAAGGGATGTAATTCTACTGATACACTTATAAAATTATTTTCAAATATGCAGGTTATCTACACTGTGAACTTCAATAACTTCTTTTACCCTAATTCAAGCAGGTCTGCCCACCACATTCCTTTTAGCTTCTTTATTTCACTAGTTTAGAAAGATGGTCAGTTTTGGAAGGAGAGCGTAACGTAAGCACCTTTGTGGTGATCAGTTACAACCAATCACCTCTTCATATATCCTCAAATTTAATTTTGTTTTACCTTTTATATTAACAGTAAAACTATTATAATTTTTGGAAGTTATTTAAATCATATCCAGTTTGAGAAAGCATAACATGTTTCTGTGGTGTGAGTCTATTGATTAATGGTTAAAGCTCTCATAAACCACAGAATTTACAATCCTGTGCTGGTCCACACATACCCTGCAATTCGCTGCCTCCAGTTTCGATATGGATCATACAGACTTTCACAGAAAGCCAATGCATGTCTCACAAATTCTTCTATGGAGGTCTGATCCTCCACTTCTTTCTCTTTTGTTTTGCTTTTTAACTGAGGAGAAAAAGGAAACTATGGTCAGAAAATTTCCAGAAGTTGAAAATTAATCTTGACCTCCCCCAGAACAATTGTGAGCCTATGAATTGTTCTCCATATAACACTATTACTGAAAGAGCAGATCACATAAAAAGAAGCAGGAGGTATCAGATGGCAGAAATACAGACAAGAATTATTAACCACGTACCTGTTGAATGTACAATGTAGTCATGGTGATAACTTGGTTAATGTATGAACACATCCCAATCTCTTCCACATTAGCCAAATTCCTGCAAAGACAACATAAAAACCACAGACTGAACACAGTGTACCATTTGAAGCTAGTTCAAACAATGTTTGTTTTAGCATTCTGTCTTTATTCATACAAAAGGATACCAGCATTTCAAAAATACTCTCCAAAAGACTACTCATACTTAAATGTTTATTTCCATCACCATTACAGAGCTCACAAGTTTTCATCTAACAGGAAGAAAGATTCAAGTCACTCTGCTACAGATCAATTCCATCTGGAATTTGGGGTTTCAGAGGTTAAGCAGATTCCCAGGACACCCTAAATAGAAAGCTCAGAAATGGCATCGAATAACAAAGACAATAATTTCCACTTACTAGTGCACACACTTTCTAAAACTTTAGGAAACCTATAACCTAGAAACATTTACTCACTTTAAATTCTCTGGAGCAAAACAAACACTAATAAATTATTTTAGAAAATAAATTATTTTAGAAAATAAACAAAGAATTTCTCAGAATTTTGAAGTTAAAAAATCAGCTAACAAAGTGTTGACATAGAACTTTTCAGCAAGTAAAGGTGACACCAGTTTGTAATTCAGAAACACATTACTACCATCCAGTCTGCTTATATTCAATATTCCAGGGTATTTAAACACTGCCATACAGCTCTTCATATAGTTTCAGAGGTAAGGTGAGTCAAAGCATTCAAAAATGCCGATTCAAATACTCTTCAGTAAAGGAGATTCTCTATTATATTTTATCCCCTTCCTCTCTCTAACAGCATTTTGCAACAGCAAACTGAAGAAATAGTGAGGAATAGATCCCTAAAAACAGTTTATTTGTGTCACAGAATTACACTATCAGGCAGAAGTTTCAGAAGGAAATCAGCCGCATGAGTAGTGTAATAGTAAGTTTCACAAGCTGTTTATGGAATTATAAGCATGTTAAGAATGTGAAACAGTTCTTCCTGTACAATTCTCTCAAGTTATTTCATAGCTAACAGTTGTTAGAGTGCACCTTTTCTTTTAAAAGTATTTCTTATACGAGGTACATAATATCTTGAATTCCCATAGATTTATCTTCTACAAAGAATTTAGTATTTAAACCCCTTCTATTTCTATTGTAAACATTATTGCTAAGATGACTGCATTGTTCCCCTCTCTTTTATTCCCTCTGCTTTCATTCTGAAGATTGTGAGAAGTGTTATTTCTCTGTATCTACTGGAAGGTATCAAATCACTCATAGTATGTGTCATTAAAATCTATATTTATAGGCTACATCAAGATTTCTTAAACAAAACAACAGCCTTGCTGAGGTAACTATTAGAACAAATACCTGCAAAGGATGATAAAGAATTTCACCAGCAAAAGTGACAGAGTCTGCTGCTGCTCTTCCAGGCCATCTGACATTTTCTGGACACACTGTAGCAACTGGAGCCTGAGGACCTGAAGAATGTTATCAGGAAGCAGTGAAATTCCTGGCGGAATGTCGTCCACCCTAATGAAAAAAGCCAGACACCAAATTGTTAATCATAGAAATGCCAAGCTGCCAATCGATTCCCATGTACTCATGCAGTGTTCCAGTAAGTTCTGTGGCTAAGGTCACCCAACTGACAAACCACGCTTCCTAATGAGGCACAAGGAAATGTCTGGTGGCAATATACCAGCTTGAGCTTTCTTTTCCCCAGCAATGAACTACATTAAAAAAAAAAAAAAAAAGTGTTAAAATCCATTAAATGGCTTTCTAAATCCTCCTCTATACAATGATCTACCTTAATTGCCACAAAGAAATCACATAATCTGCATCAAGTAAAAAGGTGGCCTGGGAAATACCCAGGAACAGCCACAGTGGAATGAAACATAAGCACAAAACATATTTGGAAGAACATTTTCAACTTTCTACTGAAGATTAAGAGTGTCCAAATAAATGAGATGCCAATTATTGCATAGTTATTGAAGCTCACTTGGTATTCATCCACAGTGAACCTCATGTCGTTCTTACATAAATTTCAAAAAGCAATCCAAAATTATCTTTTGCCTATTGTTTTCTGCAAACTGAAATATTTTTAGAAACATACCAGCAAGAACCAAGACATGAAGAAAAGAAGAGGCTTATTTGTGATTTAATTTCTTTTCCCAGTGATCCAAAAGCAAATAAGAAAATGACCCAGGAACAATCATAAAGAAATCCATTTCATTAACAGTATAGACATCTACAGATCTGTAAGAACATTTTTTGAGATAAGAACTTTTTATCCACTGTTGTACATGCTAAACACAGTTAGTCTTCGGCAGCAGCTGTTTACCCTGACACATCCTCTATGAACTCTACATAGGAAAAGGAAGACACAAGCAAGAGCATTTACAGTTTACAAAAGCCCTCTCAACACAGCCAAAGCCAGAGGAAAGTTATAACAAAAAAAATTAGCAAGCTCAAACCCTCACCCAATATGACTGCTGCATACATTGCATTTATGCAATGAGAAAAACCACAAAAAAGATGTGTAGAAATGCAGTGACTACCCCTATACAACATGATCTCTATTATTTGAGGAAAATGGGGAACAATCCATTGTTTAGCTCCTAATGTTGAAAAGGAAGCCTTTAGAGGAGGGAAAATCAGAGACTCAGCTTAGTAAAACACCTAGACATGTGTAAGTGACAGAAAGCTCCCATATCCAAGAATGTTACCTACACTTACACAGACAACCATCTACTTCATTCTCTTGCCTCTTCACACAGTTGTGCAATTTGCTTTTCAGATTGGGGAATTCAGAATCTCAAGGGATTCAGAGCATTGTAACACAAATTTTATAGCCTAGGCTCTAAAAACACTAACCACAAAACTGAGAGCAATTGCTTTTTTTTCAACACAAATGCCAAGAAAAAAAAATTAATTTCTCTGATAGCAACTTCACCCCTCAAGATGCTGGCAGATCCACTCTCTCTGGAACTACAAGCATGGTTTTTCAGAATCTGGTAATTCAGATTCCGTATTTCAGATTTTGATAATTCCCTCTCAGTATTAGGAAAACTGTAATTTTTAACAGCTGAAATCCTATCTCTAGAAGTTAATTCCCTAAAATAGCCAACATGTCTTTTTCAGTAAGATCATGAAATGCCTTACAAGAGACCAAACAGCATACCCTTCATGCCTCACATCCCAAAGAATGTTTTCTTTGCAGTAGCTCCTGTGTTGCACAACCCATGAGAATTTGGGAGAGATGTGCGAGATGTGTGAGGCATGAGAAATCCTAACTGGTATTACACAAAACTAGCATACTATAGAGTATATAAATTAATGTAAATATATCCAAACAATCAAGCTTGTTTTCACCCCAGACCAAATTACTACTATACCACCAAGAAACCTTAAATTTAAAATGAGGATGTAAATTTGTTGACATGTAGTACTAATTTTTCCCAAACAGACTCCCTGTTTAAAGTAAGTACTCCAAAAGGAAGGAAAATTTAATATAAAAAACATCCCCTATCTGTTATTGTTACTTGACTGCTGGTGCCCTACCTCAAAAATATGAGACAGACCTTGACACGTTTGTGATCTTTATCATTTCCTTCATGATGTTAACATGGTTATGCAGCCATAGAAACTATGTCAGGTGTCTGAAAGGGAACTGAACCACCTGTACACTGTAGGCACCTCAAACACACCCTGGGAACTCTCCTCCACCAGTGGTAAGCACTTGGAAACAAACTGCTGCAGCAAACCAGGTTTTATTTTTCAACAACCACCATGCAATCACACAAACCATGTTTGTGTGATTGCATGGTGGTTGTTGAAACACCTATCATGTTTTGGTTTTCTGCATCATTTTTATGTGTGTTTGAAGTCAGCAAGTTAATAAAATACAGTTTCTATGGTACCTTGCATGAACTTCCTTTAAGCTCCTTTGCTCAAGATGATGCAAACCAAAAGCAGAAAAAAAAAGTATGACAACATTCCAGAGGCCTTTGTTATTTTTAAAAGTATTGAATCAAATGACAATTCCTCTCCAATGACCAGAAAAAATCCTCAAACCAGCTAGTAAAGGTTTTATCCTTTTTATGGTAAATACATATGATATGGATACATGTTTTGAAGGAAATAACAGGCAAGTGTGATGGATTTTTGTGCTCAATGATGAAACCATTAGCATAGCTATATTCACCTTTTCAGCAAAATGATTAATAACATCATCAATGAGCCATTTCATACAGAGTAGAGGCACAAAGATGGGGTGAACTGAAGCTGTATAAGCCTATAAGCTGCATAACTGTATAAGCTCTACTTATACAGTCAAATCATACTGGGTACACTCACACACTATATTTAGAGATTTCTTAATTCTGTACTGCTTAGTATCTTTCACATTTGCAAAGCAGACTTGAGGAAATTAGATATTCTAATTTATAGGGAAAAAAACCCCACAAAACAATATGAGTTAAATCAGCAAGTGACAGTGCAAATTAAGAGTCCTTCTTTCAGGAAGGAAAAAAAAAGCCAAAACAAAACCAAACCTGTAGTAGAATCTTTACATTTCTTAACTAGTATTTTCTTGGATGCTAAAAACCCCTTCATATGTTTTAGATTGACACAAAATTTCATGCCCATCTTCCAAAAAGTTAGTCATGTCCAGCAATCTGTACAAGCATAAACAGTTTCTTATTATTTCCTGGCATTAGCCCTGAAAGACTCAGGTCTTCCAGGCATATAGCTTTAAAACACACCAAGATTTATAGAAGGAAAAAAAGAAAACAATATTGGTGCAGTCAGTTTCTCCTTTTAGTTAGCATCATATATTTTTAAGACCAATAGACAGAATTAGTTGTCTTATAAGGAATTTAGTTTAAAAAAAAATAAATCGAGTCCACAGGGTCCTGTAGACTCTAGAGTCACTGGAAATCAGCATTTGGCGGTTCCACACTGACCTACTTTTCTTTCTCATGGGCCCTGTAATACTGTTTTCAAAATATAAAGGCCTGCAAGGCAAATTGACAAAGCCCAAAAAGATGCCACATGCCTGATTACATCACAAATGCATGTATGGGCAGAAACTGCAATTCTTGGTTAATTCTAGTATCTGATCGCCATGGGTTTTCTTATTGTAGACATAAAAGCACATTAATGACCTGCCTTCATCCCTGTGTTGCTGTGTTGTTTTGATGCTTTTTCTTTACATCTGTTACACAAACGAGTCCAAATCCACATGGTTCTATTCCTCCAGACTAAATCACTAATCCTGTCATTAAGCTCAGAAAAACACACATTATTTTTACACTCACTAAAGTCACCATTTATCACAATGAAGATGCTACTGTTCTACATAACTAAGCTCTCCATTGCTGAAAAAAAACCCATGAAAACCGTGAACACATACACTAAAAAACACTTAATCTCAGAGTACAAATAAATTTTAAAAACTTAAAATCAAAGCACCAAGAGATTCCTCTCTTCCAGGGTTCATATTTCAATACTAAATAGTATGTTAAAGATAACCTGTGTCAAAGGACAAACTTTCCTCCTTAACTGAACATATTAAGATGCATTTTTGACACTACAAAGGAATAAATTTTCAGAAAGAGCACAAATAACTTGAAAGTCTTCTTACTGATAATAGCACTATGTATTTTGCACTCATATAGGCATTATGAGGAAAATGTCAATACAAAGAGCTGGGAAGTCTAGGTTTTATCTACTGAGATCCAGTTGCAGCATTCTTCATTCCCTTGTAACAGTTGAGGCTATCACTTGCACTTCAAACAGGATCTGAGCCAAAGCCCATTTAGGAATTTCCATTTATTTCAACAGGGCTTGGAATGCAGCCATCATGCAAGGAGCACCATTCTGTACTTTCAAACACCATTGGTGGTATCAGCTCTAACACTGACACTAGTTCTCATGAAGTCTGAATCCTCTAACATTTAGTTTTTCTTAAAATCCCTAGTTTATCCAAGCAAAAGAAAACATCCAATGCCTAAGTTTTTACTCCTCATTTTCAAAGTTAGACATGAAAACACAATCATGATAACACAGCATACAAATTTAAAATACTAAATATGGAATTCTGAAATTAGGCTCCAACAGACCCTCATGATTGTAAGTGGGAGCTTTTGGTCAGCAACATGAGGGAAGTCAGCAATATTCTTACCCTGAAGTCTTCATGGATGCAAGGAAATCACTCTCAAGTCTATCACTTGAGACTTGGGGAATATATTAATTTTTAAATGTTTTCAGCTAAGATACCCAAATCTTTCACTGAGAATTTCATTCACCCTTAATCTTAAAGCAAACCCTGAAATAAAATTACAAATTCTTTACCTACATCTTGCTTCTCTTCTGTCACTGCTGATGCAGATAGTAAACACTACTATCTGTGTTTACTATCAAAAGAATCATGAGGAACACAAGGAATAACAATTATATTTCTAGGAGTAAGAACAAGTAGTACTCATGCCAATTTCCTAATACAATGCAAATACCAGTATTTGTCTAGTTTCATCATTCCCAGCCCAAACTGACCTTCAAATGAATGGGAGTGCCACTTGACAACTAAAAAACTTACTTTTGTTTGAAGGCAGCACTGCCATTGAACAGGACAGGGCTCTCAGCCAGGTCTGTTTCAGATATTAGGAAAAATGAACAGGTCTGTAATTCTACATACCTCGTTGGCAGCTTCTCAAAGTCCACATCCAGAAACTGTTCATAGCTAGACACAAAACTATCCAACCAGAGCTTCAGGTAATCTGGATCTTTCTGTAAAAAGGAAGAGAACATTAGCCTCTATTGCACTCAAGGTCATCTATCAACAACTCTGTAGTACTGCCTCAAATAAAAAGTTTCCATTGAATGCATTTCAACTGGGAGAAAGGAGGGAATAAACATTTTTTAGAACCAAAAGAAAAAACAACCAGCTGGGTACTTTTAAAATTTTCAGCCACATTGTGCTGATGGGACGTTTTTGCTCTATTAATTAGTTTATGCATCTCCTCCTCTTAGCACCAGTGTCAACCAAAGCATTTTAGCTTTTTCCCCTCATAAACAATCTTAACTTATTCTCCAGAGTCATCCATACCAGCTTTACAAACATTCTAGAATGTGTTCTAGTCTTGATACCATAGATACTAGTACATAACACTCCTTATGGCTTATAAAATTAAATAAGAACAGCAATCCGAATCACAAAATTATTGCCTTTTTGCTTCACTCATAGGTCAATATGGCAGATAACAGCAGATTAGAGACAGATGGTGCTCAGAAAGACAATGTAGAAACTATGACTTGCCTATTAGATAGCTTTTAAATAGATTGAAGATTATATTTAAGCTTCCTAGTTGTTCCTAGTAGAGCACAAAGACTGTGACCAGCAGTCCCTCAGGGCTAGACACTGTCCCAGGAACTAGGGCAGATACTAGACCACTGCAAACTACACAGGGAAATTCTGTCAAAATATGCATTCAAGGTAGTCTTACTTTAGAAGTCAAGCTGTTTAATTGTTAAAAATGTTGCCAGCCCATAGCTAACTTATTCCCCTGCCAGGACTGTGCAATCTTGTCCATTAACACACGTGCACATAGACCCACATTCTACACCACAAATAATTTTCAAAACAGTTTTAAAATTTTTGCCAGAAGTATTTGGGATTACAAATGATTTTTGAATCCACTCCATTATTTATAACATTTTGCAGAAGTTGAAAAACTTTATCCTTTTCCCTTTTCTGTATCTCCTCCCTTTTGTTTGTTACTTTTATATTACCACAGATGTTCCCAAATAGGATAATGTTTACCTGCAGAGTTAAGATTGAAGAGCAAACAGTGAATATCTCTAACACACACACACACTCTTCTGCAGCAATGTCAGCCCAAAAGAGCCACCAAGAAAGATTGACAAAGTCCTGTCAGTGTAAATAGGTACTTAGGAGCCCTCCACAGGGGAAAAAAAAGAAATCAAACAAAAAGTTTAAAAAAACCCACACAAACAAACAACGACAGAATAAAATAAACCCATAAATCCAGAACCTCAAGTGGCGCAAAGCTCTTCTCAGAGCATCTTTCCACAGCAAGTACAGGAGTTATAAAGCATGGGAACCCCCTCCTCATTCTAGACTTTACCCTTCTCTGCGTCCCCAAAAACCACCCTCAACACAAGCAAGAAGTGTCAGAAACATCCAGACACAATTTACTTCACTATGACTATTAATTATATATAGAATGTGTTCAGGTACTGTGACAACAGGTGCCAAATAAAACCCTCAGCTAGATACATTTCTTATCTGATTATTTGCTTCCGCCGACTTTACGGCATTTACTTACTCACTTTTCCTAATTGTTTTATTTTCCCTTCTTTGGCTTACTTCCTAATCTTTCTTCTCCTTATCTCTGCTTTTATTCACTTTTCAGTTATTTAAGTAATCATTCCCTTTTTCTGTTAACATTTTGTCAAAACAGCAGTATGTTCTGAAAGTGTAATGTAGCCTTGTTCTCATCTTTAAAATGCACTGAACTACCAAATGGTTAACTTCTCTTAAACACACCAATTTTCCTCAACATGGAATTGCAAAACACAGAATGAAGGAAGCAGTTGAGATAAAGAATAATTTCAAGATTTCCAAGATGCTTGTTTAAACTACAGATGTTGCCAGATTATCACAAGTAGGTGAGTATAGAACACACATTTCTCGTGTTCAGACATCAAACATACTAAAAATCAACCCAAAAGTTAGACAAGAAGTAAGACTTGCCTAAAAGAATGATTCAGAAGTAGTAGAAGACGCCGTCTTCAGACAGCCCAGCTTTTCAAAAATGTTAACGTTTAAAGCTTTAACTTTCTTGTATTTCACAGCAAGTAATTTTAGTTGCAAGCAAACTATTTCACAGGATCATAAAGACAAGGGAAACCAGGATACCATTTTAGTAATTGTGGCTCAGGCCACAAAGGACAAAGCAACTACAGGGAGTAATGAACAGAAATGTTGCCACATCCATTATAATCCTCTGATTATAATGGCCATATACACATGTGCAAAAACTGAACTTAAGAGAGTTTTTCCCTGTTGAACAACTGCTTTTTCACTGGCATGAGAAACTTCTTGAAATCCAATAAGAAATACTAGATTGAGTCTATTCATATTCCCAAATTAAAATTGTTTGTTGACAGAGCTCAGGCTCATTCCTAATTGCTAACAGTAAACGTCTGCAAAAACCCTGTTTCTCTTGGTTACCATGAAAGAAGATGTGCAAATAACATTATCAGACTTAAAATTGCTTTAACAAAAGTCAAGGATGAGAAAAGGGGAAGGGTAGGGCAAAAGACAAAATTACATTTAATGCCTGCTTGCTCCTTTTTAATGATACAGCCTAAATGAGTTTCAAGCTTCTTTATCTTTGAACTCCAATGCCTTTGCTATCAGTACAGACTGGGAATAACACAACACTGGCAGACAAAATATGCAAGAAATAGCACTTATACAGATGGCAAGAGTAAACCACATGTTATGAAACAGCCAGAAGTTTCTGCCAACCTGTAGAGCACATACTGCTCAGTTTGCTTTGCCACTAGAACTCCTCCTACTCCTGATAAAAACTAAGAATTGCTGTACTGTTTGACCATTCCCTGCAGCACACTATTCAGCCCAACTCCCTTCCATCACAGTCCCCTGCCAATTAATAATGTAATATTCCAAGTTTATAAAATAATCAGATTTTATGTCAAAATAACAGGTAGCACTACCAGTATGTGCTAGTAGAAAACAGTTTATGTAATACCTGACTCAGAGTCAAATCTTGAGATTTCCATCCAAGCAACATCACCAACTCAAACCACTTGGACAAATTAAAAAAAAAAATCACAAAGGCAAAAAAGTAAACTAGATCACTTAGCAACATGAGAAACACCAAGTAATGGATCTCCATTATACACCAGCTAACAGAGGCATGCCTCCTTTCCAGAAACAAACAAAAATGAAGACTTGTGAAGAAGAAGTTCATTCCAGGAAAAAGTGACAAAATATTTAGCAAATGGGCTAAAATTAAGATATTTCATTACAATAATGTTAGCAACAGAAGCTATGAACAGCTTTCAAACTTCAAATCTGGCCCAAGTTTTCTTTTTTCTTTATTAGCAGCATTCATTCCAGATCCTAGGCACCAGTCTCCTGTTGAAAGCTCCAAGAAAATCTAGATTTTATTAAAGCAGTTTTAGGAAAGGAAACTGAAAATGGTAAATGTTACCCATGGCAAAGTATATATAAATGTCCTAAAACACAGCTAAATATATACAACCTTTCTGAAGGCCTGCCTATGTGAGTCAGATTCATCTTACATTCTTCCAAACCAAAAGCATCATAGTTTAGGAGAAACTGAGTCTTTTTACAGTGGTTTAATATTCCAAGTTCATAATAAAACCAGGCAGTAATAACAGGTATCAGCTATTTTGTTTACACTGATATTATGTATAATGCAATTATCCTACCCAACATCTTTACTTTGAACTGAACTTTTTCTTGGGGCCAGCTACTCCCACTTAATCTGGAGTTTAAATTTGGTAGAATGAAAAATGAAAAATAATGTATTTCTGTTAAGTCCTTCCCCCCTCACCTTTTCAACAATCCAGTATTGTCGCACAACAGAAGTGGTAAACCATATTAACAGCAGAACACAAATTAACCTTAATTTAACATTAATACATTTCTGTTCTCCAATGCCAGATCAGCTTTCCAAGCCAGTAGATGTTGCAATATGAGAAATATCTGTTACTAGATGCCAGAAGAGAGCATCCTATGGGATCCATGCTGCTACTGAGGGCAACAAAACACAAAACTGCAACCACAGTTCCACCTGATTCACCCTAAATTGTGAGCTACTACATTACATCTGTGGCCCTCCTAAGGAAGCAGTAGAAGACCAGAATAAAGCATCATAAATACTCAGCAGCTTTGCTACCAGCAGAAGCAGCAAAAACTATGGAATATATTTCCCCTCTTTGAAAATTACCCTTTTGTTATCATTCTGCAGAGAGGCAGCTGGAGGCTGTATGTCAGAAAGCAGCTCCAAACTGTTTTCTGTGGTGCTGCTTGAAGATGCACTTTCAAAGCACAGTTTACAAAACAACATAGGCTTTGATAATACACCACGAGGCTAAACTGCGATAAACCAGCGTGAGTATTCGTATTCTTTTCCAGCCCCACCACATACACTCTGCAGACATTTCCTGTGAGATCGGCAAGAAATTAAGAAGGATATTTTTGATTGGTGCAGCAGCAGTAAAAGCAGGAAGAAGTTTCTGAGTGTTAATAAAATGCCTGTAGTCAGTTACAACTTTCCAATTACTACAAGAAATGTTTTCTGAAACCTTAAAGCCCTCTTAAGTTACAAGCCTAAGCTTTTCATTTATTTACCCGAAACCTGCCTAGCATTTGTGCAGGACAAATTTATGTAACTTATTTGAATAATAATTCACATACAGAAACTGCATGCCTTAAAACTTCCCAAAGGTAATCTCCCCATGGCTTGAACTCCAAGAAGGTAAAATACAATTTAAGTCAGCCATTTCTCTTCATAGTGATAAATGGAAACAACTAGAGTTTTAACAAGGCTATCTTAAGGTGTTATTGTAAGAAAAGTGAAAATCTATTGAAAAACCCTGAAAAACAAAATAAAGAGCACAGGAGTATAGAAGTATATTCTTCTATATACTCTTGAGAGTATATTCTTTTGCTGATAGCCCCAAGTTTGCAGAGGCTAACTTCAGCTTCT